TGTTTTTAGATGTAATCATTATATGATAGCAATATGACTCGAGAGTTATCGTCATCGTTTTTGTGCGCCGTAGTTTATCCACTGCTGGATGAAGGTCCCCCCCCCCCCACCACCTCCCTGCTGTGTGCTGCGATGCCACAATCAATTTCACACGTGCACGTGAACTGGTCCTCATTGCTCCATGTCATCTCTAGTCTCATCCATCGCCCATCATCTCTTCTCAGGGGGATGTTTTCTTGTCCATACTTAACATTCAATGACATTCGTTTGTTCTCTTATATAATAATTCAAATTTATAATGCGCATTCCAACCTAGGATCCCAATGTACAATGCATGAATGGCAGGAAACAAAAACAGAACCAGGGCAACCGACCAAACTAAAGAGGGAAGGCGAGTTTAAAGAGATGGGTTTTCAAAGCAGACCTAAATATATCTACCGACTGATTGCCTGATTTCAAGTGGCAAAGCGTTCCATAGCTTGGGTGCCACACTACCAAGAGCCCGATCACCAAAAGAGCGGCAACCTAGACCTGGGAGTGCTGAGCAGTTGGAGATCAAAAGATCTTAACGACCTTTATGGATTATAGCAACATTTATTAGTTCCTGCAAGCAATGTGGGGTGAGCCCTTATAAAGCCTTATAGGTTAATAGCAGTATCTCTAAATGCACTCGGAATTTGACCGGTAGCCAATGAAGAGATAAGATGTCTGGTGTAATGTGCTCACGGAATGGTGTACGTGTAAAAAGTCATTTAGCAGCTGCATTCTAGACAAGCTGGAGTCTGCCCACTACTTTGCTCGGTATCCCAACCAGTAAGGCGTTGCAGTAGTCTTTTTAGCTTTTGTTGCCATTATGCACTTTACAGATGAGGAAAAGATTATTCTCCCCTCGGATATTGGGTGTGCTCCTTTAAAATGATATATCCAGTTTACCAAAAGCATACCAACACAGTATGACAGAGAGGGATTATGTTAATTCAGTGGAAGGTCCTGGAACACAAAATGCTATTTAAACAGGATACTTATTGAAATGGGTAAGTTGGGAATTGTGGCCCTTGTACTTATTATAAACTTTAATTTATCATAACAATGACATAAGTTGTTAAAGATAAATGAATTAAAATACAGTAACAGATAGTCGTAGTCAAAATGTGGGTGGTGGTACCTTAATGATAATTATATTTTTAACCATTTCAATACTGTAATGAGAGTGGCGTGAATGAATAATTATCCATAAATGACATAAAATTGTTAGCTTAAAATGTTAGTGTAATTTCACTTTTTTTACTTAGCCTTGCCTCAATTTTTGGATTACATTGTTAAATGTCGTCTATTTGTTCAATCAAAACTAGTTACAAATATTGTGTGCACTTAAAACTACTTACAGATAGCCCACGCAAAATAGGCATGTGCCTCAATAGGTTTATTTCATCACTTGGTTAATAATAGCAATAGAAAGTGTAATTAACACGAATAAAGCAATGGGTTTTAATTTAGATTTTTTCATATAAGTGATGCTGTTTATAGAGTGAAAAGGTTAGGACAAATCTATGGGATGGAATTAATTATTCTGCATTTAAAATTATATCCATTTGAAAGTGCAGGACGTATTTACACGTAATCTTTTTTCATTTGCATGCCTTTAGGACAGTGAATTAGGCGAGGTTTTTGTTAATGAATTGATATTGAATAATTGATGTTCTAATTGGAGATCTATTGAGCTACTTATAATATGTTATTACATTCAGGACTACAGTATAATTGATAAAGGGAATATTAATACACAGACATTTTAAAGGACAATGCTGAAATGAATACTGTCATTTATGACTTTAAATTACCTTAAGATTTTCAATATAATTATATAGGTCATGTTGCCAATAGCAGTGATTGTGTAACCTTATACCAATAGTGTATTTTAAAGTGCAGTACAGTACTGCATGATAACCGCTTCTCTTTTGGCATGAACACTGCCATCATTATAACTCAAAAATATACACTGACCCTAACATTTTTGGCACTGGTCTTTCTTGAGCGCATGATTCATTCTGTCAGTTGACTTAGAAACATAATGACTCATATTTTTTGCGAAAGATATTTGGTGCCAAGTCGTACGTGGTATCGTTGTGGAGCAATAGTTGATTTAATAAACACCTTCAGGCAAGTTTGTCATTCATCACAAATGATCAAGTTTTTCTGCATCGTCCAAAAGGAATCTGCACCTTCGTTTTAAAATAAAATCGCTTGACAAACAGACACACTTGTGACTCATTTTGCAATGCAGCGGCTCGCAAACCATTTTTTTAATATTCCATAAACGTCCATTGCACTGTGCAGTAGTTGTATTTTGCATAGCATCATTACTGTGGTCATAGCCAATGCGTTGATTGCCTTGCGGGTTGAATGTTCATTATGGTGCGGAAATGTGCCAGGGTGGATCTAACGTACTTCCATAGAGGGAGAGAGACTGATGGTAAAAATATTTCCTATCGCAGTACGGTTATGGGGCAATTTGTTGAATGCATAATATGAGTGAATTGCTTGGTTAAGGAAACACCCTTTTATGTGCTATTATGTTTGTTTCACGAGAACTTTCTGGGAACATAAAACAAAAGTCTCCTTTTGTAGGCATGCAACGTGATAATTTATTGATTAATTTAGACTCCTACGCTTGTAATCACACCTAAAATCGTGTATGAACGAATTAATAATTCATTATGGAACATATTGCTGATACAGTTAGGCCAGTGGAAAAAAAAACTAAACTACAAATGAGACAGACAAAATAAGGAAACAATGTATATGAGACATTCAAATGAGACTAAAAATAAATTTTCCTTGAATGGAACCATGATGCTGAATCATGACAATTCATTGCATCTCTGGGTGTGAACAGAGCAATTCATTGTTATAATGCTGTACTCATTACACACAAAGTGCTTTCCACAAAAGAACCACAATACCTTGCTGATCTCGTCAAGGAGAATAAATCATCACACAAACTCTGGTCATCCTCGCAGCTGCTGTTGGCTAACCATCGAACAAAGATGGTCACTGCATCGCGCACTTTCATATACGCTTCTGCGGCTGTCTGGAACACTCTTATTTCTGATATTAAGAAGCCACTGGAGCTATGCACTTTTAAATTTAGATTGAAACAAATTGTTTTAGAACTGCTTTTTGTGTTTCGTTTGTCCTACCCCCGCACTTACAATAACACGGTTGTCTACATACGATGCAAAAGAAGTTCAACGTACACACATGTAAACACTTCTGTATTTGTCTTATTATTATTATTCACGTTAGACACTGCACAATGTGGATCCGTTAATGAACCCGCTGGGTGTCTGCACAATGCATCACAGCCATGGCTTAATTTCTCACTTAGTATTTCCCAGGTCGCTGGTAGGCTGTAGCAGGTGGCACGGGACCAGTATCCACAGCCGGGCGTGGTGTGCCGGGGCGCGCAAATATTTTCTGCATCCCTGACCTGGACATACACCAGCTGAAATTAAATCTTGGGCACGGCGCTGTGTGGCTCGCCCGCCTTTCCCCTAGGCTCATGGGGACCACGTGTGCTCGGGAGAGATGAGCGCTGGGCAGCTTGTGAGCGGCAGGACCTCTGAGCAGCTGGCGGTCTCTCTCTCTGCGTGCAGCCCACAAGGTCCTTTTGTTTTGCATCGTGACGGGGGTGGGAGTCACAGTGGACATGTGTGGGTGGCATGCAAATGTGAGCCGTGATATACATGGATCGGGCAGCATGAGGGTGTGGCATTGAACCCTGTGTTTTACTGAGCCATGTGTCAATAGCTTTGTAGATTATTTCAAATTAAAGCAGTGCTGTACTAGGTTTTGTTGTGGTTGTGCAGTATTGCTTTAATGTTTATTCAGCTTCTACCACATTCTGCATGATGGCTGATGTCTTGCACCATGTGCTGGGGTAAATTCCTGAATAGGCTCCGAACATGTGGAACAAAACGTCGTGCATCATGCAGAAAATAACAGCACAACCCAAAAACACATCTGAGGTTTTATAGGTTATTTAGAATTAAACCACGGCCTATTTTAAAGCAATATGAGCACTGACTATAGGACTCCGTCCTATATTAATGTGAGTATATGGTGTAGTGTTATGGGAGTAACAGTTAGAACAGTTTAAAGTTAGATGCAGAGCTATTTTTGCCATTCCTATTTTATGACTGAATCATTTTAGATTTAACACTGACCAAAGTCTGCTTACCACTGACCATTTTGGTTGCCGCTATGTTACAATAGGGCTTTGACCTACACGTGTCGAAAATCGATATTATTGTGCTAACATATTCAATAGCATCTCTTACACACCTGATTGTGACATGAACATTTCAAATCTAGTTACCAGCTTTGCTGATCAATGTGTGTTGGTGAAAAGTGGGGGCCCCCAGGACCAAGTTCAGATTAAATTTTCCACTTATTTCAGCTGGTGCTGGGAATCAAACCGATATCAGCGGGTGCAGAGCACAGTGCACTAACCAGTGTTATTGTTCTCCCATTGCACTTCCCGTGATGGATATGTTTTGGTCAGGTTTCTTTCAATGTACCTATAGTCAAATATCATAGATCGTACATTTCTTACCATCATTAACATAGGTTCCTGGTTCCTCCCAGACAAAATAAGCCCCACTTGACTCCGTACAACAGCAACAATTATCAAATAAGTGTTACGACTGATTGACAGGCTGATGGACAAATGAAGCATCTTTAAATGTAAGGATGTCCTTTTTTATATCTGCAGCACCTCAGCTGAGTGAGGCATTGGCCAGTGAGGAACCTGCCGTGTCATCTGACCCAGCGGGGCTGCTTGTGACTGTAAGTAGGGTTGGTAGTGCGGGAGTCACCCCCCGTCATTTAGCGCTACCTGTGTCCAGTGCCTCCACTGTAAACAATGAGGCCCTGGCTCACAGCAACCCAGTGGGGGTGGTAGGTGGCAGCTCGTCATGGAGGAAATGTGGAAGTGAGCACAGGAGCCGGAGCGTGGAGGATGATGTCAGCGCCGCACACGACCCGGTCGCGGGAGCCCGCGCGGGCATGGGCCTGAGGTCATTTAAGAAGCAGGATATGATGTATGGTCCAGCGGTGCAGTCTGGCTCGGCGAGTGGGATCCCTGCCAGCTTTACGACAGAGAGGGATGTGCCATCAAGGAGCGGAGATGCACAAGGAGGTGGCGAGTGCCGGAAGCAAGAGTCACCTGAGCCAGGGCACTGGTGGTGGTGAAATGAGCCAGAACAAGAAACTGTGTCTGAGGAGAGGCTCGGAGGGAAGCTCCTCCAGCCAAGACTTTGATGTGATCAGTGCCATGGAGTGGACCAATGGCATTGCCACTCTACCCGGAAGTTCTATCAAGGTACTTATATTTGTTTTTGTTATTAAATTGTAAAGTGAGGCAGTTGAGTGACTCAGGGGGTTAATACTACGTCAGGTTAAGTAAGTCATCAGCTTTCAGAACCTATATATACATCCAGGTTTCAGAAGGTCTGTGATTAAACTGAGGCTTAACTTGATGCTAAAACAGTGCTCGGATGAGTGGCCACCATGTACAAACAGGTTGTCCTAGGGCTTGCAGTGCAAAGTGGTGGGCAGCAGAGGGCAGTGCAGCATAATCCATCATGTACTATACTTCTATGTAGGCTCCCATATTTATGCTCCCACCGTCACCAACGCGCACTGACCAGCTTGGTGAAGTATGTTCAAACAACCTCCGCGATTTGCCTGGTGTGGGGAGGCCCTGATCCCCAGGTGGATTGACAGATCGGTTGTACGTGCCTGGCATTACTGTGTAATTGATATTTCTTAAGAGAGCAAACCCCGAGTGCGAGTAACGCGTAACGCTGCCTGTTTGCTATCCCGTCGTTAAAGTTCTGCATGAATGAAATTGGAGCTTTGGAGGTGCTGGAGGAGGGACGAGCGAGTGGTAGTTCTGCTGCTGCCACTGCTCAGAAAACAGGTATGAGCCACTGCTGGGAGCTGTCCATGGTACTAAGCTACATGGTATGGCAAAAACGTCAGTAGCCACATCTATGCAATAAACTACAGCAGCTGCTTGAAGATTGCACCGTTTGTTTATACACACACACCTCTCAGTCGGTTTCACACAGAATGCTCTGAAGAATTCTAAACACGTCCACACTGATTTAGCAAACTCAGCTCGTATTTACAACACTATACAGTACGTTCCTGTAAAACAACTATTGAGCCTGACTATTGCCACAACCTGTAACTAACCTCTCGTCCATGTACCATATCAGACATTGTTTCTTCTTGAGGTAACAAAACAAAAGGTATAGCCACTTGGCAAAAACTGGTAAATCGGTGTTTTAGTTTTGTTAATTTTTGTTTTTTTGCCAAACAACTCTTTTTACAACTCACAGTGTAATGTTTCCCATAATACAGGTTTTATGCGATCTGACCCAAAAAACCTGTATTATGGATGATATTGGTCGCGAAAGCCTAGGTGTTAAAGTGAAATGTGTTTTCTTGGCCCATGGACTAGGTATTGGTGCAGAACTCCCAAGTGTGTCCATTACAGTTCTTTGTGTCACTTGCTGTTACAATTATTCATTGTTTTAACTCGTTCCCAAAGGTCCAGGTAGTTATGTTTACCTATCAGCAAACACCTGCACAGTGTTAACTCATTTCTATTTCATTAGAGGGAATGTTGTTAAGCATTGCACAAAATACAGGCTGGCGGGGGGCAGGTATACGGAGTGGAGTTGAAAACCCCTTCTGTAATTAATCATACCGTGTGTTGTTTGTTTTTCATACCATAAGGATCAATGTGTTGACTAAAGCACTGCTGAAAAGTTATTTGCTGAAAGTTAATATAATCAATGAAAGTGCTTGGCAAAAATCTATGGTTAAATGTTCCATTAATACATGCCAAACAAAATATTTTCCAGGTGGCTTGCACACTTTAATTGTAATTGCATTTTTCTTCACATGGTTTATACTCATCGTTTAATTTTCGAATCTGATTTGGAAGCAGTTGCACGGAGCGAGGTTTGGAAATGCTTTGGCAAAAGCTTGGAGTCAAAGTGTCACCGTACTCTGCTGTGCAATGACGACTATAGCAGCCGAAAACTGGCAAGGTTAGTTTTGATGTGTGCCGTAGAGTGCGATACCGCTTGTGCAATCATTGGATGATGGTATTTTCATTTCCTGTGTTGTGTGGGTGTTTCAGCCCGATCGTTTGTGTTTTTGTGGGTTGTGTTACTTGACTGCCGCTTATACGTAAAATGGTTTATATTGATGATATTTCATTATTCATAGTATGTTTATAACATGGTTTGTGAATGTTTATGAGTCAAAAGAGTTTTGTTTATTTTTTAACTTCATGTTGTTGAATTTATACTAGGCATATAATGATTCGCCTGGCTAGCGATTCGATGAATTGCCACTCTCCAGGTTTGTGATTGATTTCAATAAAAAAAAATCACAATTGTGGGGAGGCCTTCATTGAGCAGTGGATTTACAAACTTGGCTGTACGTGTACTGGTGTGTACCTTTAGAGATTGTTGACAGTTGTTGGTGATTGTTATTTCTCTCTCCAGCAGGCTCGCAGAAGGTGGCGGTGTGGGCAGGGTTAATGCCTCGGTGATTGAGCGACTAAATAAGAAAAGGAAGATCGGGAGGAGGAAGCTGAGCGTGTTGCTGAAGTGCGAGCCGAATGATAAGCCAAACTGGAGCGCAAGGTTTTGTGAGGTGCGACCTTGGCATGCAAATTCTGTATTTGTTGAATTGTGCACCCAAAATTAACAATCGTTGGCAGCATTTAAACGTTACTGAAATTAAAATTAGAATCTGAATATCTTCTGCTGAGATATATTGAGTATGATACGTCGATCAATAACAAGATGAATCTTTAAACTATTGAAGACAATTGACCAATTTGAAATTGTATCACGGGAGACACTTTCTTTTGCAAATGTGACATTTGGACCCTAATTGCTTTGGCATCAAAGTTTCCGAGCCTGTTCTCCTGCACTTGATCGTTAATTCGTATGTCAAGAAAAAAAAGTTTTATCTACTATTGAAAAATAATGCTTTCATACTACTGGATACAATTTTAGCATGAAGCTTTTTATTTGACATTTGGAATTGGTTTGTGAAAAGTTTCGTGAATGAGTTATACCATTGGTGCAGTTTCATTGCTCAAAAAAACAATAATCATTTAAAAAAAATTTTGAATAAAACTTTTCCACCCGCAGAGTGTTTCCAAGGACAGAAGTCCCAGGACGGTGAAAATGAAGTGCAAGTCGTCTGAGCATTTGCCTGAGATTCCCTGTAAGCAGAGACGCGTTTGTGATGGTATGAGGCTGTACATTCAATGTATTATCGTCAGCCATGTTCTATCCACAGCTTGATAAAGGCATCCCCAAGCCACCACCATTTTACTATGCATCAACCCATCAATTACCTGCACTTGAGCTGATTTAATCTCTGCATCTGTGAACATTTTTTTGGACGTGTTCCATCTTTTGGCTGTCGCTCCCATCATCGGTCTCGGCCAGTTTTTTACTTTTTATTGTATGTTGCTTTAATACGTACGCATCTGACTAACATTCTCTTGTAAATATTCTCTTGATTCATTACTTATGCAATGAAAAAATACAGATTCACATGCATTCTTTCACATTTTTAAGTTACTTTCTGGCTCCTGAGAATGGCAGGAAAGCCTGTAAAAAGCCGTACTAATTGCATGGATTAACAGAAAAAGATAATGTTGTTTTAGAAGTCATTGGAAAACTTGTATTCAAGCTAGATTTTCTACACGCAACTACGTCACTCCTGGTCTATTTTACTTGATAAAAAATGCATAAAATGAAAGAAATATAACATTGCACACCATTTTATAAGTGTATTAAATTTGTGGACTGTTTTTATATGTTGTGTTTTTATCTCTTTCGTGTGTTTCATTGATCGTTCTTTTGCATCTTTGTACGTTTTACAGCTATAACCATCGTACTGAAGACTCCACTAAAACATTTACAAGTTTCAAATGTAGATCCAAATGTACGAAAAAATAACTTACAACTCCAGCTCTAAAGAGCATCAGTGCAATACATTGGCTTCATAATGTATCTAGCTCTGGCACAAAATCTCCTCTTGGCTCTAAAGCCGTCATAAGTTTCTTATGTTAGCTGAGTTTGTTTCATGGCTTAGTAGCGGTTAAGAAAACAGTACCGTATAATCCCAACTGGCAGATCAAATAACATATCCTGGTGCCAACAGTTGACAAAATGTTTGATTTAAGAGACCAGTATATTATTTAGATTTCCAGTGATATTTTAATTGTGTTATTGCTGGAAACTATCACAGTGAGCAGAGCACCATATCGTGTCAGGGAATGGCTGTTGAATATTGGAAGTGTCACAGAAAAACTTTTGAAATCACTTCCATAGTTCTCATCCAACGCTAGATGGAACTTGTTTCCTGCAAACAGTGTCACTATACCGACATTTAAATGTTCACTGCCAGAGCTGGAATATTGCCAAATTAATAGAAAACCCCCAGTTTCATATTTGGGCTTAACACTGCAGGTTCATTTGACCGAGCTGAGACCATCAATTGACAACACTTGAGGGGACACTGTTTAATCATGCGTGGATTGGCACCGTGATTGGAAACCAGGATTTCAGTATTGTCGGCTTTGTGCTCCGACACAGTCATTAACCACATGAGCCACTCGGCCTACTATAGGGACAAGCATTTTAAATGTGCTTATGGCATTAATCATCTGATAATGTAATGGCTTTACAAACGTGGTTGCTTTGCGCCTCCCATGCCTGCATTTCTGCGTGTGTGTGATGCAGCACTCCAGGCAGCCAGGAAAGAGGACTGGTCCTGGGATGCCTATATTAAAGCGGAACAGGCGATCGCCGCACCCCTAAAACTCTTCACAGAGGTTAGAGTTGACGTGCGGAATAGTTGACATCGCGCAGAGCAACACGTGGTAACAACCCGAAAACACATTGGAGAGCTGTACAGCACAGCCATGGAAACCTTTGCAGTCAATCTTAGTTTCGGGGCCGCTTATAGGGAAGCAGTTTTTGCGGTCGTTCAAAGATTCAATGGCTGATCATAGAGCTTTTGACTCGGAATTCGTAGGTTGTGATTTTCGAATCTTGGGGGACAATTCATGCAATCGTCAGCTTTCAGGGGTCGATAAATTAGTATCACTGTGGGAAGTTAACAATTGTAGTCCAGTGGAGAGACTGGGCCCCGCAATGAAATGCTTGGAATTTTCATCTCCAGCCCAATAAAAAAATACCCTTAATTAATAGCAGTCGATTGAAATGCTTGGATATTTTAAAAGGAAGTAATGGAACTGTTGATTGCCCCACTAATGGATGTGCGCATCACCTAATGCTTTATCCATGGGGATATACTTGTACACTTTTACTCATCATCAGCCATGATCTATCCACTGCTGGTTGAAGGCCTGTCCAAGCCGTTGCCATACCTCACGATCCTGCGATGTCACATTTTGTCATCTAGCTCCTGGCGGGAACTAGATGGAGGTGATCTTATCACTGATCTCATCGATTAACTCATCACTCCATCTTCAGGGTAGACTCTTTCTCGCTTGTCATGTTTCCCCCTTTCAACTGCTACTCTGTCATTCGTCTGGACAACCGGCAGTTATCCATGTCCACTTATGTTAACAGACAGAATGATGTTAGAGACATATTGTATTAACTATGATGCGAGTTTTAAAAGACCATTATTAAGATAAAATCCAAATGTTTATCCACAGCGAATGAAGTGTTATTTAAATGGCATTCTGTGTGTTTAACACATAGGCTTTCGTGACCAATATCACCCATAATAGAGGTTTTTGGGTTAGATCGCGTAAATGCATAAATATGTCGTTAAAACCCATCACCACCCAACACAGCCAACCAGTAAGGGTTGTCACGTAAACAGAACATGCCAATTTGTCACTAGTACGGCACACCGGCATGTTCTGTTTACGTTACAACACTTACTAGTTGGCTGTATCGGGTGGTGGTTGGTTTTAACGACACATTTATCTATTTACACGATCTTACCCAATAACCTTTATTATGGCATTTTGTATGTATGTTGGGCTTCTTTCTTATCGTACATAGCCAACCGTGCTAATCGGAGGTGCATGACTGACCTATGTTTGCAATATGGGTATTTGTGGGATTTCTCACATGACAGTCGTGTATGTGTATATCGGCCAACCACCCCCCTCGCATGCCATGCCGGCCTTCATAGGTGCTCGCTCACAGCACTTGCATCAATAGTCTGTTAAAGGCTACACGGGGTGATCTTTGTATCGTTCGGTCCGTGAGCAGTGCCAGACCTTCCCAACGAGCAGCAACGAGTTCCAGGTGGGGATGAGGCTGGAGGGGGCTGACCCGCAGCACCCATCCCTTCACTGCGTGCTCAGCGTCACTGAGGTCAGTGCGTGTTTGCGTCCGCTCGGTGCTTTTGCAGGTAGAAGCGGTGCAGAAAAAACTTGGGCACTGTTTTACTGCCTGTGATGCAATGAACCGGGGTGAAGGGATGTCACCTTGTGAATGGGGGCACCTTGTCTGTGGGTTGGTGTTAAGGCTGTAGGTTATTTTCGAGGCTGTTGGTTAGTGCCAAGGCTGTGGGTTAGTGTTGAGGCTGTCTGTGTATGTATTTGGTTAGGTTGTAGGTTAATGTTGAAGCAGTGGGTTAGTTTTGAAAATGTGGGTTAGTTTTGAAGCTGTACAGATGCCCCACTACACAGCTGTCTGGTTCAGTAATAGCATATTAGTTAATTATGGGGGGAGGGAGGGAGGGTTCACTTTTATTGCTCAGTTGAACACAGCCAGACTAAGCCACCTTTAAGATTATTAGGCTTCACCATTAAAGCCCACAGCTCATAAGGCCAGTACCAAGAGCACCTCGAATTTAATATGTTGAGATTTTATGTTGAGGATTTATCGCGGGTGTTAGTGGATAATGGTTTCCTTGTGTCCCGATTTTTCTCCACCTACACACATTCGCAGGTTTTAGGCTATCGTCTGAGGCTTCATTTTGATGGCTACTTGGAAAATTATGACTTTTGGGTCAATGCCAACTCGCTGGAAATCCACCCAGCCGGCTGGTGCAACACAACCGGGCACCGCCTCCTACCACCCAAAGGTGAATCTATTAGAAGTCGATGGTTGAGCTGTTAATGAAGTGCAAAATTTAACAATCATCCATTTGTGATGGCTGAGGAGTCACGAGTGCCAAGCTGGCAGCACCGAGTTCCTGGTTCGAATCCAGGCAGCTGGCTGTGATTAAAATGTCTTCTCAAATGTAGTGAGTTGATGGTCTCAGCCCAGTCACAATGACTGCAAAAAAAATTGCGCATTAAATGTGGTTCTGCAATTAATTGTGACTATGTTCCAGCTCGTGAGAATTAATGCCATGAGTTTGACCGCCATGCAAACCAACATTACTCTCAGTGGCCTAGCGGGTGGGAAAGTACAGTCCCATAATGTGTGGACCAGAGATTTACTTGAAGGCATCTCGGAGGTAGCTCTGCGATATCCACTTTCACGTGCTGTTCCCGAACAGAAGGAGTATACCACACTCCGAGAGACCCGAGTGGGTTCTTCATCTCGTGACATGATGCCGATAAGACAGTGAAGATGAACTTGCAGGGGGCAAAAACAAATTAATTATTTGAATGTGCCCCCTGTCATTGATGTGCAGGTTACTCGGAGGAAGAGTTCAGCTGGCCTGCCTACCTGAAGGTGTGCAAGGCCCAGGCTGCCCCGAAGCATCTCTTCAAAGGCCAGAGCAGGGCGAGTGGAATACAGGTGCCACAATTCAGTTCTTTGGTTTTGTAGATAATGTTATCTGTGTAGTCTGGGGACCAGGTTTCACAGTGCGCATTTTGGTAAATATTAGGCTGCCGTTTTTTTAATCATTTCACTTTGACATGTATGCAATGGAAATACATTTTTTGGCACAATTTTTGCTTCCAAAATTGGTGCGCGGTTACGTGGTTTAAAAATTGGGTTGAATTGGCAAGTGTTGAAATGTAGTTGGTGTTGTAGCTCATACCGTAACCTAAACCGCTACTGCCAAAATTTTCGCGTGTGTCACTCAGCTCAATCTTTCAATTACACTTGGGGGCGCATTACGTTTTTGAACTTGCCGTTTTGCTGTTGGTTATCATCTAGCCGGCAACTACGCACAGCTTCGAGGAGGGAGCGAAGCTTGAGGCGGTGGACAGGAAGAACCCGTCGCTGGTGTGCGTTGCCTCTGTCGCAGACCATGCTGACAGCCGCTTCCTCGTTCACTTCGACAACTGGGACGACACCTACGACTACTGGTACGATCGCTCGGTGGCATAGCGTCGGTGGCAAGGGCCTCAGTGCAAGGAATTCAATGGACTTTCCTCTGTTAATTTCCCCGGCTCTTCGTAGCCTGGTGCGCAAGCTCCCAGTGCAGTTTTATCGCCTGCACACTCGATATGTATGTATGTTGAACTTCTTTCACACCATACATAGCCAACCGCGCCAATCGGTGGTGTGGGTTAGTTATGCCACCGATGTAAGTCTACGTAGGTCAATAGGTGTCTATGCAAGTGATTAACGCTGGCGTGTTTGGCATGGACCCATTGAAAAACAATATTTGAAATGAGGCTGGTGCCTGGGCCCCAGTGCAGTTTGACTTCCTGCACACTTGGTAATTGCGCAGTAGCTCGCCACCAATTAAACACCCTGATGTCTGCATCATGATTCCATTCAGCAAGAAAATTGTTTATTTTCCCCGATTGTGGTCTCTGGAGAATTTATAGTGGCTGCAGGGTTTCAATGTATGAATAGCAAAGCCATTTGATTGTCATAAATAGAAGATGTTGACATGTATTTGGAATTTCAACAATTCCTGTCAATGGGTGTCAGGTAACAACATTTTAAAATGATAACATAATATGAAAAATTCATGTTTATGTTCAGGACATTGACCCATTTGAAATTTGACAGCTGCATTGTGAGTGAGAGACATACTGTGCTAGCACATGAATTTTAGTGGCGGTTAAATGCAGAATTACAGTCTTTGATAGAATTTGTATAAACCCTTAGGTTACAAGTGATAACGTGCATATTCCTGCGTGTTAAAGTGACTCTTGCTGGGATGACCACATCAAAGAAGCATTTATGAAAGTATGTCTTCAACGTTCTTGATATTTTCCTCTGTTTTAATGTGGTAAAAAATGTAAGTATCATCGGACTCTTCTGAAAAGTTTGAACCAAGAACCTATGAAACCTCTGGTGATAGAAATAGACTTGCCAAGTCATGCGTTTGTCTATGAACCCGATGCTGCCCCGTATTTCTGTGCCCAGGTGTGATGCAACCAGCCCGTACATACACCCCGTTGGCTGGTGCCAGCGGAATGACGTTCCCCTAACCCCACCTCTCGGTGAGTTACCGGCCACTTGGTCGACTCTTTGACCAAATGGCACCCTTGAGCCGGCCACATAGGTTCCCTCATTTACAGTTGTAATATGAGGATATATCCGGCTCACTGACGTATCACAACTCGTCATGGTGATTGGCTCTGCCGGTCCTGGTTTACAGCCAATGGGGGGAAGCCTGGGGGCATGGCCCTGATGTGATGGAAAGGTGACAGCTATAAGGATTGGTTCTGCTGGCTTTAGCCACAGCCAATGGGGAGATGAGTCAGGGGCGTGGTCCCGGGAGCTGACGAGGGAGCCTGGAAGTTTCCATGCAGGATAACGAGGATTGGCGGAACCGTACCACGTGACCCGGGTATTAAATAGGGGTGGAGACGAACGACACGTGGTCAGAACGGGAACGAACAGAGGAAGGGGGGCCACGCGGGAGCGGGGCTCCGGGTTGCCACGTGGCGTTGCGTCTCTCTATCTGTCCCTCTCACGCTGCCTATCAGCAGCGTGAAGTAACTGTAACATAAGTTGAATAAAAGACGGATTCCAGAAGTCGCCTCAACGAGCTTTATTACACAGTTATCCACTTTGTCTTCAACTTGAAATATGATATGACAAATTCCGTTGGTCATGATATATTTACCGAAAATGTCTCTCTGCCATTGTCACAAAACAGGGTGTCAGATCCCCAGTTGACTCGCCCCTGCCTACCTCTCCCCTTTCATCTCTCCCTATTTCCCTGCACGCACTCTCCTACTTCTCCCCTCTCGTCGCACTCTTTCCTTCACGCACTCTCCAATCCGGCAACCAAGCATTTATTTTGAAGATTGCAGTCAACCTTTGATCAGTCGGATGTCACCGATTCCCTTTTGGTGCACTCATTGTCTCGAACTCCCTGCCCCCATCCATCAGGCCAGTGACTCCGTGCATCTGATCAAGTCCATGCTCAATACCTTTTGCCTATGATTGACTGCCTCTTTCTTTCTACAAAATAAATATGCCCACTCCTCCTCTACAGTGCCTTGAGTAGTGGTCGCATTTATATGCCATATATATCCAAGTTGTGCCAGCGAATTATAAATCCACAACACGGTGGTCAGTAGCCCTGATCCAGCTACATGTCTATGATGTAAGACAACAATTGTGTTAAGATACTCAACTTAGGGATCGTTAGCGTGATCAAGATTCGTCATTTGTATAAAAATCGTGCAGAAGGGAAATTGTCTGAAACCAAGCCATACGCTTAAAAAAAACACCGGAAGACTGATGAAGCTCTTTCTCTTACAATCAGTATTTGACGTTATATTTTTTTGCAGAGTACGGAGGGGGATGTAAAAAAGTGTATCCTTGGTAGACTTTTGAAAATAATATTGATTGTTACCTTCCTTCGTGTTAATTCTAATTAACTAGTATGGAGTTCACACAGTCTTTCGAAGTTTGTATCTTTTCCTACTTACATTGCTAATCACCACGCACATCCGGTTGTTTTAGGCAATAGGGCCATGTGGTGAGCACAGAGGGCAGTGCAGCGAAATAATTTGTTGTGCTTTACTTCTATGCTCCCATGTCTGAGCTCGCCAAATGCTCTAGTATCTTGCACCATCTGTAAACACATTGGCCGAAAACATTTTAATAGAGGACTCCAGAGTTTGGGCCATTGTTGGTACCAGATTATTGCCTGGCCGCCTTGCTGCTTGACTGTCGTTTTGTTGCCGTGTGTGAAGACAGCGAGTGTGTGTGTTTTCCCAGGGCACCCCGAGGACAGGGAGTTCAGCTGGGAAATATATTTGGAGGAAATGGGAGCCGATCCAGTGCCTGCGAGAGTCTTTAAGCCGGTAACGTTAGCCTCAATACATACACGTGAAGGATGGTGACATTTTTTTTAAAATAGTGAAAAAAAAATCTATATTTATTCAACATTAGTACTTCCAAAAAGAATGCCCTTTCTTTCTTGAGTCATATTAAAACATTTTCAGGAGCGTCCTACATTGCAATTTTTGCCCAATACATTCATTCGTGTTTTTGCATGTGAGAGAAAACTGAAGAACCCAGATAGAACCCATACAGATAGATTAGCACAGATAGCTCTGCACAGATTGATTACAAAATAATCTGCATAGAAAGATTCAAGAATGCACTTCCTGTTCTGTCATCTCTTGGCCACCTCACAGCCCATCCCGAATTACTAACCGGGCTAAACCCTGCGAAGTTATCAGGGCCACAACATGTTCAGACGCATTCAGGATGATTTGATATAAATCAGCATACTGCAGACATAAATGCTCATATGTTACGTGATTGATTCAATAATAACGTACCGAGCAGTAATTGGCTTTACATTTTTGTAAGCAACTTCATTGTCAAGAGATATTTGATTTCCCCTCCATTACAAGGATATTCAAACATTTTCTGCATTGTTGCCCTGAAACACTTGTCCACCTCCAATTTTTGTGTTCTCGATTTTCACGTCAGCGTCCACCCCACGGGTTCCGCATTGGCATGAAGGTCGAGGTGGTGGATCGCCGCAACCCCGTGCTCATCCGCGCAGCCTCAGTAGCGGCGACGGATGACCATCACATCAAGGTAACAGATATTTGCGTTTACTCTGGGACGCTCAATGCACTTGGCATTGTGGCTGAAGTGACAAACCAATGCATCCTTCTGCTCAAAGGAGCAAGAGATGGGGCTCACCTTTGTTGATAGTCCTGAGCCAGCAGTAGACATTGCACATATCTGTGATAGAGGCCACTTACTCCACAGAACAGTCTCGTGACTTCCCACAAAGTGTTTTTTTGATTGTGGGCTGGTGTTCATCTCATTTGGTGGCCCTGAACCAGTGCTAAAAATTCCTCATAAAAACGTTTCCCAAGTTTGGAACTCTAACCACAGTGCCTCATATGGTCCACGGGGCCCCCAGTTGAGGAACTCGCATGTGTGTTTGCCCGGAGGTGCGTTTCGACGGTTGGAAGGCTCTGTACGACTACTGGCTGGAGGCGGACAGTCCGGACATCCACCCCGTCGGCTGGTGCAGCCGCACTGGTCATCCTCTACAGCCTCCCATCGGTGAGGCCGAACCCCGTTTTAGAAACAACCACTGCACACAGGGCTGTCCATAGGGGGGTGCGGGGCCCGGGGCAAATCACACCGTGTGGACCCCCTGGTACCTTCAAACTAAACCGGCAGTATTTCATCTTGACACCGTGACGTCAAAACGTGGCGCCCCACCCCCTCCCCCCCCCCCCCCGAAAGCGTGGGGCCCGGGGCGGTCGCCTCGATTCGCTGTACCCTAAGGACGTCTCTGACTGCACATCTGCTCAGCTTGTTAACAAAGAATGTTTATGGGCATAATTTTCAATCTATTCCTACACTCACAATTCATCAGTTTCAATTTGATTTCTAAACTCACAGTACGTACCTGACATTGAATCGGCGGTAGGCATGTTTACTATTCATGTTTTCAAACCGTCCCGTTAACGTAACAGTTTTGTTAATTTAGATGTCAATCTGCTGCTGAGTGAAGAACTCCATGTTGTGTTGGTCATCGGGGTTGTTGGATCATACTTCACGCTGGTCAGCGTTGGCTGGTGGAAGTGGTGGGGTGAGAGGCCAGGACTAAATCCAATTTAATTTGCCACTGATGTTAGCCTTGGCCAGGAATTAAACTCTTTAAATGCCTGGGTTCATAGCTCAGTGTGTGTGTGTACCTCTGTGCCACCACTCCACTCCACACTGTGTGATCCACAAACTTTGCCTGCAGAGTGCTGGGCTATGGTCGTACACCACCACACCTCCTGATGTGATATTTTGCTAAAGCACTGTGTGTGAGACTGACGCTTTGAGTTTTTGTTTGCCTAAAAGGTACCAAGGATGTGAGCGTTCTTCCCGGACCAAACGATTGTCCCACGCCCGGATGCACTGGGGTGGGGCACATCAGGGGTGCAAAATACTCTGGTCATCACAGGTACACGTCATAGGAAGCAGAACACGCAGCGGTGGAAAATATACTGCAGTGAATTAAACGCTGGGTTAATTTATTTATTCATTTAAATTCTTAGATAATGATGTTGACTATATTAGATAAAAAAAGAAAAATTTCTCCATATTTGAATGGACTAGTGTTCATCTCTGTTGGTGGCCCAGAGCCACTGGTTAAAATCCATATTCATCTGATGGGGATCAATAGTTTTGCATATTATTTGCTTAATTTTTAAACGCTCGTTTGTCACACGCAAAATTCGATTAATGTATCTTGCTTGAAAAAAAATAGATTTTAATCCACGGATCGATAATGCATCGTCACACATGTGCAGTAAAAGCACGTCCTTTCCTCGACAGCGCGTTTGGCTGCCCCTACTCGGAGATGAACTTGACCAAGGACTGGGCGAATCCCGATCGCCTGGGCTTGGAGCGTGCAGCCCTGACAACGGCGTCGCTGTCTCGCGGGAAGCGCTCCGACTCGTTTGGAGACTCCTGCTCTGCTGGGATCCCAAAGTAAGAACCCTGAAGCACTTGCCTTCCCTACGTAATCATCATCAGCCATGATTAATTCACTGCTGAATGGTGGCATGCCGAAACCGTTGCCAAGTCTCGCGTTCCTGCGATGCAACGATCTTTATAGCACCTGCACATTCAAAGGCATTCCATAATTTGGCTGCCACTCCGGCATTATTTTTATCCACTGGCCATTATCCATCTCTTCTAGCATTGTCCTGCCCATTACCATTTTTTTGTAACAGTCAAATTGATGTTATCAGCCTGTGATAACGTTATTTAGTACAGTGTAATTCCAAGCTTGCACCTCTCCACGCTTCTTTGCACAGTTTTCAGTTTTTGTTCTGTTTTCTTCGTTAAGTGTCCAAGTTTATGATCCATACATCATAGCTTCCTACACCAAACATGTCTCACTCAACATGATGCGGGGTGTAGTGGCGCACGCCTGTAAACACAGCCCTATTGAGGCAAGGCCCTACTGGTCACACATTTGTTTGACCTAATAACCCTCGCCTACCGGTAGATGTTAGTACAAGAAGTTGATTGGTAAACCCGTTTTCTCTGGTAGTACTTTGATTTCCTCCCATATACAAAATACCTCTTACAAATGAATTCCCTATGTAGAACCTTCCACATTTATCTAAGAAAGCCTCAGCGAGGCTTTACTGATATTCCAGTGCCGTCACGATGTCATTGGTTCCGTTTCACGCCCTGGCCGTTTTCGTTCCTCAGCAGGAAATGTCCCACACCGGGTTGTGACGGCTCGGGCCACGTGACCGGCCGCTTCAGCACCCACCACCGGCCCTCGGGCTGTCCCCTGGTGGTTGACCAGCAACAGCCGCAGCAACAGCAGCAACCACAACAGCAGCAGCAACAGGGATGCTTGCCAGTGGGACAGTCTCAACCCACATCTCCCGAGGGCGCAGAAGACAGCAGTGATGAGGACGATGATGATGACGACGTCGAGGAGGAAAAGAACGAGGTGTCAAGCACGTCCTCGCCATCGCCCTCGCTCAGCACCACAACTCCTCAACCAAGGTTGGCTTGTAGCTTTTGTGTGAATGTATGTATGTTGAACTTCTTTCGCACCGTACCTGGCCAACTGTACTAATCGGAAGTGCGGGGAAAAACAACAAGCTAAACAAAAAAATCAGTAAAAAAGAAATTCGTTATCAATCAAGATTTAAAAGTGCATAGCTCCAGTGGCTTCCCAATATATGGGAAGGAAGAGCGTTCCAGATGGCAGCAGAAGCACATCTGAAAGCGCATAATTCGGTGACTGTCTTTGTTCAGGGGCCAGCCAAAAGCCGCTGCGAGGATGACCGGAGTTAGCGTGATGGCTTATGCTCCTTGACGAGATCGGTTCCCTGAACATGCAGTGGGGTCTTGACTTGTTCACTGTTGGAGGCGGAATGGTGTCGGCTGGCCACGTGTATTGTGACTGGGCAGCGTTGTATCCGTGGGTCTTGCTCGGCAGGTCAACGTACAGACTCCGTTTCCATGGCGGGGCTGCTGGGATGGTATCTTTTTGAAGCATCACCGTGGTATCAAAAAAGGACTTTAAAATACCATTGGCTGTTCACATTCAGTCTTAAATTAAAAGTCTAAAGTACGATTTAAAACTTTGTCACTCAATGTCTCTACGAGCGAGATCTACTCTGAAAAAAGACTATTGCCCTGAAACGTTAGCCTACTATTTAAGATTACATCGTACAGTCGTGTTCAGTTTTAATGCAGTGATTAGTTTAATTTTAGTTACCAGTGTAAAACCTAATTTGTTTTTCCAGTAAAATGCATTTTGCTCTAATTGACTTCACACAGTTGTGTGTCTTTCAAACCTTTTGACATTAACATTTTGACGGACACTTGCAATTTATTCGTTCAAGGAAACCTCACTGAGTCGAGAAACATATTTTAAGCAGTATCCAGCATTGCAATATTTAGATTTTTTCTAAATCAATGTTTACTCAGGGAAAACAACGTAGTCATGGTGATGACATAAAAAAAATGCATTGCCTGCACTGTAGGTCAGAAATCATTTGTGTCCTACTATCTCCTGTCACCGTGAAGCCCAGCAGGTTGAGATTACCACACCTCTGATTACATTTTAACAGTCCTCTTAACTCCATCAAGCATGCGGGAGAACAGCCTTATTGAATGATACGCTGTGTGTAACTGGCAATGTAAACTCTTACAAGGTTGTATGCTGCACGTATCAGTTGCGTAAGCATCTGCGGACGTGGGAGTGATTTATTCACCGCTCTACCGAATGTAATGGAGCGCAGGAGGCCAGTAAAGCTCCATCTAACGTAATAACGGCTTGTGAACCGAGTTTAACAAAAGATATTGTTCCCCCTACCATACCCGAGCGCGTGAGCCGATTACCAAACTGTTTACACTCTGTAAACGGCGGCTGTGTTATGATTCACTATAAGGCTTCTCCACGGCTTCTTTCTGAAATGCACAATTGTTGTTACTGTTCAGCTACCATAAAATGACTTGTGATTATCAGCTCCTGTTTATATTTTATACACTACCCCCACCCCTACCCCTGCAGATTTGCACCGTCTTCACAGCAGGGACAGAATGCTACAGGATTGGAGCTGAATGTCACTGAGGGTATTGCACACCGCCTACATTATTCTGTCGCTAGGTCATGTCGGTGTAGTGAGACACCTGCTGAGTTGGACACTGCTGATAGGAATTATTCGATGCTCGGTGTAAACCAGTTAACATCACAGGAGGAAATTGCGGTAAAACAAACAGGGTATTGTTTACACTCTGTTCTTGTATGTGACACAATAATATAATTATCGACAGCCCGTCAATCAATCCAGCCCTGGATAAGGGCCTCCCTGGTACATGTCAGTTATGGAGGTTTGTTGGACTGTTCTTCGACACACTTGTCAGTGTGGGTTGCTGAAGAGGAGTGCCAATATCACTCACCACTGTTGTTATATTTGACTGGGAATCGGTAGTCGGGTTGCTTGGGTTCACCACTTCTCTCGATACGACATTCCTGTGTAATGAATATATAGTTCATCTGAAGTATATAAATGTGAGCAGTAGTAGTGGCAACTGCAAAGGGTGCATTATAGATAACTCCCATAGCTCAGCTGGTCATTGCAGATAGCCCTTTCATAATTTTCCCATTTGTCTCTTCTGCCATGTTGTTTTACTGACTTGAATTGCTGATGACACTTCCTGAGGTCGTCATGCTCACGACGAGACAAATCACTCTCACGTTCCCTTTATATTTTTAGCAAAGTATTTGAAAGGATACAAGGCTTTTATTGTTTAGAGTGCACACGCTGCTGTTACAATATGATTTAGCTTTGAAAAGCATCGAACTGCAACCGTATCTCAGGACACTACAAAAAGAGGAGGAGGCTTGTGCCATTCGAGAGCTAAGGAAAGAGGAGGAATTATTTTAGGGATGTTTTAAAAGGGATGTTGGAGGCTGAAGGGCTGAGAGTGGAAGGATATGGCATATTAATGTAATGGTTTACCGCCTCAGTGATTCGATGAATTATTACCGTGAATAAATTATTCATCAACATTGTAGTGAACATAAGTTGCCAATGGCTGAGAGGGTCATGCGAACACACTAAATACACTATATAAATCGAAAAACATTGTTTCTTACACTTTTAGTTAAAAGCACATATCACATGCTAGGATCGGAGTGGTGGCTCAGTGGTTAGTGTATTGTGCTAGGAACCCGGACTGGTCCTCCTTCAATCCGCACTGACCAGTATGAGGTATGGCCAAATAAGCCTCTCGTGACCAGCACAGTGTGTAAGGAAGCCTTCATCCAGTCGTGGATTGACAAAGGGCTGCATGATATTATATTATTATTTTTATTATCTTGACCTTAATTTATATCAATGAGTGTGCCAAGGCATGATTACACCTCTCGACCATGTTACGGTAAATTTGGGACGAAACACATTTTATCAGCAGGGGAGAAGTGAACACGCACCTGGGCGTGCACATAAGAGTGGCGCAGCTGCGCCAGTGTTTGCTGTCCTGCCCTCGCACCTCCGCTTAGCACGGTTGGCTACGTGTGACTGTCCGTGTGTCCCACGCCTCGCAGAGCTGGACGCCGGGATTCTGCAGCAATCCATGTTCCTGTCTGCCCTGTCGCCCAACCCGGCGCGCTCTCTGCCTCTCTTCTGGGAGCAGCACTGCCAGATCCTGCCACAGGTGGCCGGCATCACGGCCTGCCACGTGTCCAAGTGGGGGGTGGATGAGGTGCGTGCGTGTGTGATGCCACAATGCCAGTTGTTCAAGTTCATTTATTAGGTATAGCCCTCTGAGCCATTCGGCTCTTGAATCTGGTGCAACCGCAATAAACAAAAAACAAAAACATGAACAAAAAACATCTTAAAGTGAATATGTGACTAAGTGCAAACAGAAAATCCAAGAAAAGACAGCAAAATATTGCAGAAAAAAAATCACCGTACACCAACGCTGTGTGCAAACATCCCAGTGGGATGCAAGTCAAACAACCAACACCAACCACAAGACAACTTAGATTAAGGCCATCAGTCTTAAGTCTGTACTACAACAAACAAACATGGCTAAACCAATACACTTTTCGAAATCACCAAAATAAAGCCATGAAAGCAATGAAACCGTGATCATAGGAACTGTGACGGAATTTTCACAATAAATGGCATAAACAACATGTACTACCCCGGAGAGCCCATATTGAGTCTCGAGACTAATTTTTTGGACGGTCCTGCGTTGGGTTATTTGGACAATGCTGTTCATGAGTGTTCAGCATATGGGAAGGAAACCAGAGTACCCAGAGGGAGTGACACTCGAAGCTCCAAACAGACTTATTTCAGAATCCCTTTCTGAACGTGGCCGGCTGGCTATAAGAGGTCAGAATGCAGGGATTCGAAACCAGTTTCAGCCGCCTGAAATTAAATTTGGTTCTCAAGTGCAGTGAGTAAATTGTCTCGGCTCAACTACCAATGACTACACAAACAAACCATCATAATAAAGATTTGTTTCACTTCATTTGGCTCCATTCAAGCTTTGGGAATTAAAATCGTTTTTCTGTCACGTGACAAACACCAATCTGTTAACAGGGTTTAGGAAATTGCACCCCTGTTGTGCATCAAAGTATTTTTCAGACTTTCTGTGAACATCTTTTTGGCGGCCTTTCTCAGATATTCGGCTGAATATTGCATATTTTCCGAATATTCAGTAAAGCCGGAGCAGATGGCAAAAAAAAATTAAGTGGTGGCACTAACCCACAGGCAATGCAAAAGGTACAGCCCGATGAAAAAGAGCAGTCCCTTTTGGAAAAAAATCCACTTTCCCCATACTCTTAGGTTTTTCTTTTTTACTTTACCGAGTGTTAACATCCCCAGCGTTTAACATCACTCTCCTTTTTGTATTTGATTGTCAACCAACACTGGGTAAAACAACATGGGCATTTTCGTTCTCTTCTAGAATGTGCACCAACAGGTCCAACAGTTCCACATTCACTCTCTTTTAGCCCCCCCTCCCTCCCAATACGTTCCTTTCATTGACCACCACATTCAGATAAGCCCCTCCCTCCTCCCCCGTTAAATTGTATTTAAGAATTTGTATCTTGGAATCTCTGCCTCACTTGATGCAGCAAATCTAGCTGTGACGGTCCCACCTGATGACGGAGACTTGTGTTGACACCGAAACGTCGTGATTTATTATTTTATTTCTGTTATTACTTTTAGTAATTTTTATTTAATTTTTTACCTACGTGACTTTACCGAAAAAAAACCTAAGAGTATGAATCCTTGCAGTCACGAAAGCTTCAAATCTAGAACCACTTTCCCCATGATAATTGTTTTTTTACCCTTCTATCTGGCAACAAAACTGACACCTTTTTTACAAGGAGACATGTTTGCATAGACCACAATACCTGCAGCCATAATGCAAACAAAAAACATAACTCTGATAATATATGCACTGTCCTTGAAATTGATTGGTCCACACCCGAGACAGCTTTCCTTAGAGCCTATTCTCACATGGGTTGGACCAGATGAAGCCAAAAGGCGCACAACTCAAAGACAATGCACAATCAGAGTATGAAAGCTCGGGGTAAGCATTTACACCATTGGAACCTCATTTGCCAGTAAAAAAATATGATTATTGGTTTTTTACCCTTCTATCTGGCAACAAAACTGACACCTTTTTTACAAGGAGTCATGTTTGCATAGACCACAATACCTGCAGCCATAATGCAAACAAAAAACATAACTCTGATTATATATGCACTGTCCTTGAAGTTGATTGGTCCACACCCGAGACAGCTTTCCTTAGAGCCTAGTCTCACATGGGTTGGACCAGATGACTCCTTGTAAAAAAGGTGTCAGTTTTGTTGCCAGATAGAAGGGTAAAAAACCAATTATCATATTTTTTACTGGCAAATGAGGTTCCAATGGTGTATACACTTTCCCCATGTTTGTTACATTCAATGGTACACCATTGCGTCCAGGAAGCATCTAGATTCATTACGCATGTGCACTTGGATGCCTAGCAGGTGTGAAACATGACACTCATGACATTTTCTGTATACTTTGAAAAGCTGCTTTCATTGTGTTTGTAATATTTACTTTTGAGGAACAGTTCTTCTGTTTTGTTGCCATTGTGATAACCATGGCCAATGAGCTGGCAGCTTATTTTATAATAATAATAATAAAACACAATTGTCTTTAGATACAGCACCGCCACATGTACATTCTTAAGCAATGCAAAATTCCTTCCTGCCAAGAAAAGAAACAAATTAAAGGTTGCATTCTTTATCTGCTTAAACAAGGCACCGGGGGCTAACTTCACGTGGTTGACGATCAACGAGAGAGAACAAACAGCAGGGGGCGATGAGAAAACGGCTCTCGGTTGAAGCCTGTGGGGCGGCCCCCGGCAGCTGCTGCTCATTGTAGATCCACGTGGCGTTGCATAAGGGGAGACAGGGAAGCGTTTTATGAAACCGCGTTCTCTTCCGGCAGGTGGCCAAATTCATCAGTGCCCTACCGGGTTGTGATGAGCAAGCCAAGTTCTTTCAAAATGAAGTGAGTCCACACACACACTCTTGACATCCGCTGTGCTTTTTCCATGTTCAGATTTAATAGTTGGCTAAGTATGAACAATTAGCACTGCATGCAAATTGCACAATACTGCATGCAAATTGCACAATACTCAACTGTGCAGGTGTGAGGAGTGTTGTGTGTGCTTGCGGAAATGCTTTGCCCTGATGGGTTTTTTTTTAAACCATGAGCTCAATGGAACAACACAGGGTTCTACTGGTAGCTGTGAATCTGCGAGTTGAGGGGTGTCCTGGAAAAACCTGATATCCCTCGTTTCTATTTAGACTCAATAATGAACAGCGTCGTCGTGGAGAACGTGAATAACAATATATAAGCATACAATATGTCTCCTTGTATCTCTCCACACAAAAAAGCTATGCGTTTATTACACAACCCATTGTGGCCCCACAGCCCTCTGAGAGTGCATCATTCATCAGTAGAATCAAACTCTAGACCATTAATAACATAGTGTCTTTATCAACAGTTAGGCTTGCTTGAAATAATGCTTGTGAACTGCCAGGTGCTATAGGCTTTGCATTATATAATTAATTTGTACTATTTAATTTTGTGTCGAGCAAGGGTCAGTAAGTAATAACGTTGAATTTTTTTTAACGCTCTTATTTCCAAAATGTTTGTATGTAGATCATTGCAGCGGCGAGCTCTTGGTAAAATCTGAGGAATTATCACAGCTGTCTTAAACGCTGCCAAGCCTACCATGCTGGATTTTCTGAGCAGATGCAGATATTCTAACGTGAGATACATATGTATGTTGAACTTCTTTAGCACCATACGCAGCCAACTGTATGTCTTCATGCGTGTGTCTTCATGTTTTTTTCCACGGTATCGTAATTTATTTGAAGGTGGAGGGGTTACCAGCCCCTCGCACCCGTCCCGAGCCCCAATTTAGCCGTTGTGGTGGCTACAAACGCCATAAGGGGGATGGCCAATCGAAATTGGCCCTCCCCCCACGGCACTGCTCACCACAGCGTTACCGTCCGGCACCAACGAGGAGGTAGGGGGTTGTTTTGCCGGACAGCGGGCGTTCGACACTTCATGTGGCCTCAACGTGCACATAGCCTGGCACAAGCGCCGTGGTGACATCACCACCACTTAGTGGCAAATGGCGGTTGTTGTTTTCTTCATGTGGCATTGAACTGATCATGGCCGATGATGACTTGGCAAAACCAGCACTGCGTGTGTGAACACTGTGTAGCTAGCCCCTTATGCATTGGTTATCTTGAGTGACTCCTGTTTCCACCCTCCCCCCCCCCGTGCCAGCAGAAGATTGACGGGCCCGCCTTCCTGCTGCTAACTCAGTGCGACCTGGTGAAGATCATGGCCATCAAGTTGGGGCCCGCCCTCAAGATCTACAACTCCATCCTCATGTTCCAGAACGCCGACTCGCGCACCGAGCTCTGACCCCAACGCCGTCAGCGCCGCCAGCGCTGCCAGCGTTGCCAACGCCCATGATGGAGAGGGGCCGCTCGCTGGTGCGTGCACGAGAGGCTCGCTTAGGGCCGCCAGGCGACGCCGGGAAAATGGGCTAGGGGGTAGAGTGATGTTACGTAAGCCTGACCCTAATAGACGTTGTGTTTTTATCGGCGCATAGACGCAGCTTAAGTTGACGGTGACGAAGCTGCGGCTGTCGCTGCGTTTGAGTGCAGTTTGTTCGGGGAGTCTGTATTCGGGGGATATTCATAACTCAGTACTATAGATACGGTCTCGGGGATGTATGTCTCATCAGCAAATAACCTATAAGTGTAACAGGAATCCAGGCGACCGCTGTGGGGATGGCAGCTATTAAGTGTGACGGGCAGAGCAAGTGAAATGCATGTTATTTTCAATGTGAAATAACAGCACGAAGAGCTTCAACTGTGCCTCGCGCTATTCACCTCAAGCAGAACGATTAACTCTGTTGACCTTGGTGCAAATGACAGGGCAGTATCATCACCAAACACTGTGCGTTCAGAACTTGTATGCGACAGTACTGTTCAGGCCTCGCTGCCACTTCTGACAGGGTTGGGTTTTTGTGTGTGTGTGTGTAACGCCGCGTAAATACACGAGTGCATGTACACGTGACCTTGCAAAGAGAAGTTGTTCAGAAGTATTTTTTATTTTATTTTTAAAAAACAAAAAAAAACACGCAATTTCACACGTGATTCCTTACAGAGTTGTTTGTATATATGGTTGATATTTATTTCAATTTCTTAAAAAAAACACGACAGCGTTAATACTGAAAACTGAGAAAATCATGCGAGTGATATTGGGCTGTGCCACAGTAAGGTTCCGCTTGTTACATTTTATTTAGAGCACTTTACATTTGTAACCGTTTTGTTGCTTTCGATGTGCTACCGTTGTGTTTTTGTTCTCGTAAACTTGTGTTTATTAAGGTGAGGTCTTTATATTTTTTTAACCGTGAAATAAATAAATAAACTCCCATTTTTAAATTAAAAACCTGTGATTGTGTGCCGTCGCTAAAACTATACCAGATTTGAACTTTGACTTTGCTATCGTATGGGACCATATTTTCATTCGGCTTGCAAACCGTTGCTGTTGTGTTTTGAATACAAAAACACTAGGTGAGGGCTTAGTTCAGTTGATTATCTACAACGATACCAAAAAGTGCAGAGATAAGTTCAAATTGTAGTTTCCACTTTTAACATATGCTCAGTTCCCTTGTAAAAGGTGATATTGTACCGTAACCATTAATAAATGAGAGATGATGGAAAGTCATGCACTGTCTTCTGCATTTGTCCCAAAGGTGGTAACATGTTACATGCAAACATTACCAAACATCTGTCAGTATGGAGTTGCTTGCATTGCTACATAAATTGTGCACTAATGCATTTACACATTACAAGTTGAGCGTATAATGACAAATTGCAAGTTGAGGGTATAATGCAAAATTTGTTCCACGCAGAGTTGAAGTCTTAATTTATGCATCCTGAGAATTCATTAAAAATAGTCTCTGTAGGGTGTGAGCATGGAGTCAGGAAATTGACACCTGGTTTAGAAGCCCAGGGTTGCCTTTCTATTAACAACGTTTCCCTAATCAGCATTCTCAAATGTAGAAGGTGAAATGGCCGCTGCCCAGATGGCTACAAATGTCTCTTTATGCGAATGTGATTGTGTCGATGTACACTAACTGTCTGTTGCAGAATTTCCCCACAGCTCACTTGGGGCCATATTTCCGTTCGTAGTTTTACCACTTAAAATAGTGCACCGTAGACATGACTTGCAATTGAGTGGGAATATACTGGTGGATGTGGTTAAGCCAGAATGTGTCGTGGGCTGAGGGGTCACGAGAGACTACTGGCAGTTTAGGAGACCTCGCCAAAATGACCACCTTGAGAATATTTCTTAACATGTCTTACAACAAGTAGTCTAGCCACCCAAGGCAGTGAGCTCTTTTTTTCAAACCTGGTCTGGAGAAGTAGCCAGGTCGATTTAGTTTTTTTTAATATACAATTTTGCAAATATTGTTTTCTAATGTAGGCAAAATGCCTCTTCATGTGCCTCCAATAGATGAACTGGCAATCGCAGTCTTGTTTAGTATTCATGAGCTGGAGAAGCTGTCTTAGACAACGGTTGCCCTGGTTGGGATGCACCCAAGTGTAATTGATGGATTCAAGTGCTTAAAAGACAATGCAGCCAAATGTGCGGGTACGGATGTTGTGCCAAACAGACCTCGTTCGAGTGCTAAACAGCATGCGCCTTGAAAATGTAGAAGGATGACCTTTCTGTCGAAGCTTTATTTCCCTTCTCTAAATGCGCACTTTAATTAGGCTTATGACATCACAGGCGCTTCAGGAAATTGCCTTTTGGGGCCATTTGACATTTAGGCAATTGGACACTTCAGTGGGCACTATCACATTGCTCCTAATTTCGCATCAACGTGCCGTGCTGGCAATTCGTGTCGTTTCCCGCAAACGGAGTATTTAAAAGACACTTTTCCATTACTGCACATTGTTTACAAACAACTGTATGACTGCTAGCGCACAGCAAACAGTGCAGTGTAGACCTAGGTTGCGTGAACTACAGCAAAAGACAAAAGATCCCACGTATAGCCTTAACAGACTGTTGGGGCAATTTCTGTTAGCGAGCATTTATGAAGCCCAGAATGGCACACGAGGGGGTGGGTGGCCAGCACCACGCCCGGCTGCCTTTGTCTCCCCAGTGGTGATGTTTACACACTGCACCAGGTACTCATTGGAGGCTGAGTCGACCAAGGGGAGGCCCAGGATCGTTTCATCATTGGGTGTCGACCGTGAGCAGAAATCGAACCGGATTGCCGGGTTCGTAGCGCAGCACACTACCACTCCCTTATACTACAGCAACACACATACGTGCATACAATGTTGCTTTGATTGTTTCTTTAAAAAAAATTCACGTAAAGCAACTTCATGTGAAGTTTGTCAGCGTAACAACCTCTACGTATTTGTCATTGTCTCTATTGCATTATGTTTTTAAGAGTATTTTGCGTTTTCATGTTTTCAATACATGCCATCCCTCTGCATAATAATTACTTTCCCATAAAAAAAAATCCTCAACTCGGTGTTGACTCATTTTCAGGGAGAGGTTTTGATCGAGCACTTTCGCATAAAACCTTGCAGCATTGCATCTTCAGAAAACAGTCGACACAACTCATCGCTTTACAATCGTTTGCAGTTTTTCTTCGGTGTGAGCTTCCGCAGACGTGTGACTGCTTTTCACGCCGCTATTGTCGTGAGCGTTGCGAGTGCCAGCGGTCACCAGGCTGGCTCGCGCGCTGCTGCTTGTTTGCCGTGAGGCTTGGTTGCATCCGGTCGACCGTTGGGCATGGTGCTCCCTCCCACGCCGCCGCCGCCGTCGCCACCAACACCTCCGCCCGCCTCCACGTCCGCACCCGCCGTCCCCGAATCGCAGAACGCCAGCGACAGCACGGTGAAGATGACGAAGACGACCACGAGCGGGCACAAGCAGGGCGTACAGCGGCGCCAGCATCGCACGCCAACCGGGGCCCTTGTCGCGCCAGCTGAACCAGTCGTAGAGCGGGTCCCGGGCCCAGCACCGCGCCCAGCACCGCTCGCAGCGCCCGTTGAGCTGCATCAGCTTGAGCGCCTGCACCACGGGGCCGGCCACCAGCAACGCCGGCAGCAGCACGCACAGCCAGCCCACGCCCTTGCCGCGGAACGAATACCAGCGGTGCCCGTCGTCGTAGTGCCAGATGCGGGCGCAGCAGGAGGCGAGCGGGCTGAGCGGCGGGCGCTCGGCGGCGGCGCCGTGCTGGCGCTGAGGCTGGGCGTTGCCGCGGGGGTCCGGCCGGATTGCCGATACCCTGCCTCCGGGCTTGGGCCACACGGGAATGGCGATGCCCACGTCTTGGCCCCGCCGGCCCTCGCGCACCACCTGCACCCGGCTGGCGGCGCCCACGATGTTGGTGTTGGCGCCGCCACCGACATTGCCCGATCGCTTGGGCTGGGACTCGATGGGCGCGGGCGCGTCCCTGGGGAAGTTGTGCACCGCCCGCACCTCCCGCCACGCCTGCGGGGTGCCCGTGCCGTCCGGGAACTGCGTGTAACTCCGGCTGTAACGGCAGCAACGTCCCGCGGATGTTATTGGTCTCACTGGTGGCCGTGCTGCCACGTGTTGTAAAACGGTGCGGTGACAACGTCATTGATGTATCCCTGTTACGTATGAGCAACATTGCTCCTGTTGTTTAACCAATACTTTTGTTTCACCAGTCTTTTTGTTTAACGAGGCCCTTCATGTGGATATCAACCAGGAGTCGAATGTGTTGACATCGCTTCGTATAATTGCATAGCGGTTCACCGCGGTGGACATGACGCATGGAAGGACTATTCAAGAAACGTGTCGTCGAGTCTCAAACTTCTCTCAGCAGGGTCCTGCGCAGCGTTATTATCGTCAAGTTAGAACCAGTGGGACCAGAATTGAAAGCATTTTGTGAATGGCAGGCAACTGGGAATGAGACGAGATTTTTTGGCAGAACTAGAATACAAATTTCAACTGAAAGTTCAAACTGATGTTGAGAATGGGAACGGATTACCGTTGAAACGTAGCGGTCGTGATACGGAGGTTGTTTTAAATGTGTTGCGTGCAAAGTATAACCCTGTGTTTACATATTTTGTTTACAGACATTGCTAAATCGTTGAACAGTCGTGTATTTATAAAACTTAAGTGCCTACTTACAATTGCTAGGAGACATCTACTCCAAATGTTATCAAAAGTATTCATGCCTCGAATTGTTTAACAATAGGTGGAACAATGACTCCATATTGGCCAATGAGAAGTCGCACTAAAATGTAATACAATTCCAGAAATAAAACATAAACTATGCTTTCATTAATGCCTGAGAACTAATTTGGTGCGTGAAAACGTACGTAAATTAGGCCATGAAAATGTAATACAGGCTAGCCCGAAAGTCAGGAGACAGGGTTATTTCATTTATCTAACACTCGCATGAAACATTTTGTTTTAATAGTTTATTCTTTAAGTTAATATTTGTATCTGTTATCATTAATATATATTGTTCTTCTCCTTCCTGTGGGGGGGTGACCTCAAATCCGTAATTTACAAAACTCGACCAAGCCCCCCGAATTAATGAGTTGAGACTAAACACAATTAATGAATGTTCAAAGCTTACACTTGTAATGGTTAAAAATAAAAATCGAATCCGAATTTAATGTCAAAAGAGAATTCATGCATGCATTTATGTTATGGGTAAGTCGGTTTGAACATTTGGTTTAAATGAATGGAATCACCCCTGTGTGATTCGCTCAAATAAATATAACAACCCTACGTGTCCTGACTTTTGGCCCACCCTGTATATGTTCACGTAGAAGTGGGGCGTGATGATGTCGAATGTGCCCATTGTATTGCTTATTGAAGTAATCCGTTTACTTGTGGATCTTTGCAGACGGTCACCGACTACTCTGCGAGTGAGAAACAGCTAATCATAAACCGGCGCGCGTGTATCTTTATTTTGCCCTGTCTCGAGCGCGTTTAATCCGCAACACCATTTAAATCCGCTCACAGATCATCGAGAGTTAACTGCTTGATCGTCTTCTTGGTTCTTTCGGTAAAGTCCCTTCTGCGTGACTTTACCGAAAGAACCAAGAATATGAATCCCTGCAGTCACGAAAGCTTTACATCGAAATTTGCCTGATCGTCGTTCAGCATCGCTTTGTTGAATTTATTTCTCGCCGTGCGTAGCCGACCGTGCCAGTCGGAGGTGCGCAAGCGCGCTGCTAAATTTCACTGCCGCAGATCGCCCGAAACAGTCCCTGGTCCAAGGTCATTTCAGCTTGTTCACCCGTGTGTGTGTGTGTGTGTGCACCTTTGGTAATTTGCACACAAGTGGTGTTTGCGCGATGTTATTGGTGTGTAAAGTGCCTTAATTGCACGCCGTAGCGGGGACCTTTGCACAGCAAGGTGAACCGGCCTGAGGCTTTTGGCTTGGACACCGTGACCCTCATCATAGCCAGACAATAATAGAGACCAATTACCACTGATCCATCAACGACCAAAGACTATCAATGATATTATCAATTATCGCTTTGATGAAAAAGAAAAAATAGGCATACAATATGCATTTCACTTGTTTCAACAATTTAGGTTCAGAGCAGTATAACACAATAATAATTCACTTTAGCAGTGTTATTGTGTGTGTGTGTGCAAGAGCATGAATGCAGTGATGGTTGGGAATTTACTTGAGGACTACGGACGAACATTGGGCCCATGGACTTTAACACGGGACCCATATGCTTAACGTGGTCAGTGCCGGATTATCCTAGTCGCAAAAGTAGCTACATATGCTACGGGCCCCGCACTTTGAAGGGCCCCGCGTGAAATGCTTTCAAGCTATCAATTCCGGTCCAGTGATTCTACACATGCTCTATTACTATAGTACTATACTGCCTTCAACTTTTATAAACGACTGGGTGTTTAAGGTTAGCGATTTGTCGTATTGTCTGGCTGTATAGCAAATGAAATAATACAATTACTTTATTATGCAAGTTAAAAATGTGTATTTAAATATTTACGTGTTTTTTTTATTATTTAGGGCCACTTTATAATATTTGCTACAAACCCCGCACTAGCTCAATCCGGCACTGAACGTAGTAACCATATGCGAATGTAGAACCTATAGGCTTAACACTGGTCGTGTTCAGTGACCCCCTGCTCAATATAGTGTTGATAACCCTACAACCCTCACGGGGGGGAGGGGGCGGGTGGGGGGCGGTCGACGACCCTGCTCTCACCCCATCACCATGTGCGGTGGCGGGTTCCTGGGCGACACGGTGATGACGGTGGTGACGGCCCCGCTGGGCGGTCTGCGGGCTACTGCCGACTTGGGCCGGTTGGCCGGGAGGCGCGTGGAGGTGGCCGGGAGGCGCGTGGAGGTGGCCGGGCTGGCCGGGGCCGTGCGGCTCAATCCCGGGGAGGCGGAGGCGATGGGTGGCAGGGGCTCGCCCAGCGAGAGGGCCCCGAAGCTGAACTCCCTTGCAGGTGGCCGTGGGTCACGGTGGCCCAGTTGGCATGGGCACATACAAACAACAAAACCTCAACACAGTTGTCATTGGCATCTCTGCTATGGAGAAACTAAACTAAGTTATTTTGATTTTGCTAAGTAAGGCCCACTGAGCTATAGCGTTCTTTTTCGGAAACGACCTCGCCACAAATGATAGCTCAACAAAGTGCGTTATCGCGTGGAAATGTATAACTGGCAAATACTCTTAACGCACTTTGATTCTAAATGCGGAGGGAAAAACCGGAGGACCCAGAGAACAATCCACGTGACCATGGGTAGAGCATGCTCTCCACGTATCCAGGCGTCAGGGGTCAGGATCGAACCCACGACCTCCTGTGTACCAGGCGAGGTTGTTAACATCTCTCCACTGTGGTGGGGACAACTCTCTCCACGGTTGTCTCACGCCATCACGAATCGATCTCACGGCTGGCGTTGCCCACTCGCGCGAATTACACATCTCCCGAACGTTTCCAGAGATGGAGCGGTGGGGGGGGGGGGGGGGCATTTTGTACGACCTCGCCAAGCAAGGGTCGGCCTTTGACTGCGTTGGGAGCCATCAGAAAGATGTGGTCACCTATACTCTCTGGTTCTTTCGGTAAAGTCACGTAGATAGAAAAAATTATAAAAGAAAACACGACGTTTCGGTCGCAACACAAGCGTCCGTCTTCAGGTGACAAAATGATCTGCTGATCTTTATATGAAGCCACAACAGCAGATCATTTTCTCACCTGAAGATGGACGCTTGTGTTGCGACCGAAACGGCGTGGTTTTTTTTTTAATCCTTTATATTAAGTTCGCTTGCTTGCTTAGGACCGTGCAAATCTTTCGGTCGTTTTTTAACCCACTTCCCGTGATCCAATCGAGCTGAAATTTTGCACACAGACTCGTTGTGCGTAACAATGCATTTTCGTGAAAAAAATTCAAAATTTTTACACTGTTTAGGGAAAATGTTTTAAATATTTAATTACCAATTGTTTAATGCTGCCAGACAATCATCTGACCCATAGGTGGCAGCCATCTCAAGCCAGAGGACAAGATGACTCTAGCCGCCCCGATGCCACGCATATAAAGGATTTATAGTGAAAAACTTTGTTTTTACGGGTTTATTATTTTCTACGTGATTTTACCCAAAGAGCCAGAGAGTCTGGATTCCTGCAGTCACGAGAGCTTCAAATCAAGACCGTGGTCACCTGTGGCGGCTGCCGGGTGGAAGTGGCCGGGGTGCCGTCCTCTCCGCCAGCACCACCCCGTCCCTCGCTGGATCTGTCACTCACAACCCCAAGGAGAACATTTAGAGAAAAACGCGGCCCTGCTGCCGTGCGAGCCTTTGACTCGGCAATATGAATACCACAACGGCCATCGTCTTCGGCTGGACAATGGCTTTCCCCAATCCATTCGATTTTCTCGCGGTCCGGCGTAAACGTCCATTACACTTCATCCTCATCGTCGTCATCGTCAGCCATGATCTACCTACTGCTGGATGCAGCCTCCTGACACACACCAACACATAACTCATCGGGAATTTGATGTTGACTTTTGAAAGGCAATGTGCTGGGTCAATGCTGGATTTGCGAGCCCGGCACTCAGCCAGATAAACAATAACCGGGCAATGGTAATTATATGCTATGCTTCATTTAAGTAGCCCTCTATTACGGTATCATTGCGTTTTTGTGAAATCACATCAAAGTGTTTACGTGCCACTCATTTCACATTGAGTGCACTGAGCCTTCCTAATAATAATTTCCTTTGTGTGCCCAGAAAAGCCTTGCTGAATCTAAATAAAAAAATTATGTAGGGTCCTACCACATTTTGACATTTTACCAATGCTATTCACGAGTATTTGTCTTCATGTGAGATGAAACTGGAGTACCTGGAAAAAACCCACCATGCATACTATGGATTTAACAAATATATACCTATATTCTGTAATAAGTAAACATTTTTCTAAAATGCAACATTTAATTCCATTATCAATGTGCTCACCGTATCGCTGCCTGTCAAAGCAAATGCGATTGGGCCTTGCATTTTCTGCATTGGCAAGATCCCAACATTAGAACGTACGCTATCAACAAAGCCACGAGGATGCATATTGCTGCGAACCAGGAAATTAATCACGTCCATGTCTCTCCATCTGTCCGTGATTACTCACGATGATTTCCCGAAAACCACAAAATCCCAAAACCAATCAACTCTGATACCACACGGCTCACCAGCATCGACGCCCACATCTGTTCTGCTTTCGGGCAAGATTGTTAATGACATACGTTAAAATTGAACATTTTTTGTTAAGACAAAAAAAACCCGTGATACTACTCCACCGCATACCAGCGCACGTGCGTCGATTTGTACGTGCGGAAAAGGAGCAAAAAAAGCAGAGGCTCACGTTACATACTGGCTTGACGGCTTGTAAATTGCCTTTGCTCGGTCGGCTGGACTGGACTGCACCTCATACGAGCACTCTCGCCTGATTTATACCGCACCCAGACTCGAGTGCTCTTCAGAACGTGAGACCCCCCACCCCTCCTGTATGCCCTGTGGTCTCAGGCTAACCCAGGCTGCCGAGATCTCATTCAATTGCATCGCATAAGTGACGACCTTATGTCAACACCGTCGGGTGTGGTGTTGTTATTGATGGTCGTGGTGGTGGGTGATGGTGGGTGGTGGTGGGTGGAGGGTGGTGGTGGTGGGTGGTGGGTGATGGTGGTGGTGGGTGATGGTGGTGTTGGTGGTGGGTGATGGTGGTGGTGGGTGATGGTGGTGGTGGGTGATGGTGGTGGCGGTAGTTAGTGGTGGTGCATCACGTCCAGCCAATTTCAACTCATAGATTGGGTTTGTGGATCACGCATCGGTTGGAACGAAGTTATTGCCGTGAATATAGCGGCCTCTAGCGGCCGCAAGGGGGTACGTTGCAATACAGCGCATTGGAATTGAAAAAACAAGTAAACCCGTAAAAACAAAGTTTTTCACTATAAATCCTTTATATGCGTGGCGGCTAGAGTCCTCTCGTCCTCTGGCTTGAGATGGCTGCCACCTATGGGTCAGATGATTGTCTGCCACCATTAAGCAATTGGTAATTAAATATTTAATTTGTTTTCCCTAAACAATGTAAAATTTTGGAATTTTTTCACGAAAATTAATTGTCACACACAACGAGTCTGTGTGGAAAATGTCAGCTCGATTGGATCACGGGAAGTGGGTTAAAAAACGAGCGAAAGATTTGCACGGTCCTAAGCAAGCAAGCGAACTTAATATAAAAGATTTAAAAATATATTCGCCTGTGGAGGACGCGGGGATCAATCTCGCGACCTTTGGCATGGGAAGCAAGGGCGCTACCAACTGCGCTACTCCGCCACGGCCTGTGGAGGGGTTACGCTCTGGGCTCTTACACTGTGACGTTCAGCCAAAGCCATGAATGAGTTCTATTTGAATATATGTAAAATAAAAAAATTTTGCCTAAAAAGTGTAACATTTAGGGAATTTTTTTTTTCACGAACATTAATTGTCTGGCACAACGAGTCTGTGTGGAAAATGTCAGCTCGATTGGATCACGGGAAGTGGGTTAAAAAACGACCGAAAGATTTGCACGGTCGTAAGCAAGCAAGCAAGCACGCAAGCAAGCAAGCACGCACGCAAGCAAGCAAGCGAACTTAATATAAAGGATTTAAAAAGAACATTATACATGGCGACTTGATGCGTGTACTGTGGTTTCATTAATGGGTGTTAGTGGACATTAATCGATACATCGTCACACCGCTACGACACCCATCTCCACGGCTTATATGTGGCAGTACAGTAAGTAGGTTGCTTGCGTTTGTTCTTTCATCTGTTCTGTTCCTCGTCTCTGACTCTTCGTGGAATTCCCAGCACGCACATCTCTAAGGGGCCGTCCATACATGACGTCACACGATTTTTGACGATTTTTGACCCCCCCCCCTCGTTACACGGCGTCACAAAAAGTCAGACCCCCCCCCTCAAATATGACGTCGCAAAGCTCTGCCCCCCCCCCCCCAAAACCATATTTCCATTTTGAAAATAAAACTTGCTTCAACCCCCCCCCCCTCGTCACACATCGTCACAAATGTCTAACCCCAGCCCCTAGGTGCGTGACGTCATTTATGGACGGCCCCTAAGCCCATATGTGTGTTTGTTGAACTTCTTTAACACCGTACGTAGCCAACCGTGCGTTTTGCGCTCCATTTTTCTCCGTCATTGTCTGCGTTTCGGATCAACGTGTCCTAACTGGTAACATCCAGTGGACATCTGTGAAAAAAAAAGCTTTATAGCTCATCGGATTCCTCCAGGATAAATATTCCGATAACGTTCCCCTCCAGGCAACATCGGTGTGCTGCTATTCCATGATCTATCTTCGGGTTTCCAAAACGCTCTATCCTGCCTCCTCCTGTCCGCCTGCGTGTCATCACACGAGTCTCCATCTGCGCGCACGATTTACGCTTTGTTGACTTCCCTTCGTGTTGTGCTCGTGCGGCAGTTACCTCGAGCCCATGCGCGTTGCAAACCGTAATTGTGTTCTTCAAACCACATCCTCAAGGCAATTTTCATCACTCGTTATAATCATAATGGATCATTCAAATTTACATTTGTAAAACGCCTTTCTACGAAGTACTTAGAGTGCCGTGCTTCACGTAAATAAATAAATCGTTTGCCAAGGGTGGGCGGGGTAAGGAGCACGATGACTGTGTAGTCGACGCATCTTAACGTTGCTAATACTTTCTACGTGTCCCTTTATCTATTCAATTAATTTTCCATGACAACATGTTTTTTCAAAAATGTTTCGCTGCGGCTAGCCTTGGCGAGTTGCGTATGCTTTTCACGGAACTGCTCTTCTGATTTGTAAATTGCCACTCTCTTCATGGAATCTAGTAACTCCATGTAGCATAGCTTTTTTAAAATATATATAATTACGTCTACAAGGGCTTCGGTTTTTTGAGAGCCTGGATGACCGCTTCACGTTCCACCGAAACAACTGGACGTTTCATCTTCTTGGTTCTTTCGATTTAAAGCTTTAAATCGAAATTTTAAGCTTTAAATCTAAATTTAACCGCCACTACGGGGTGGGATTCATTATTATTTCCATTCTACGTGACTTTACCGAAAGAACCAAGAAGATGAATCCCTGCAGTTACGAAAGCTTTAAATCGAAACTGGACGTTTGTGAAAAAGAGCTCTGTGGCTCATCGGATTCCTCCAGTATGAATATTCTAATTTTGAATTGCATCTTCATAGTCGACAAAAGCCAGACAAAAACGACGCGCCTGTATATGATAACAGTTATTAGCGATCGATCACAGCTCCCCACTGATGACCTTGGAACGAGTTGTGATTTTGCTTTAATTATTATCGATGCGCACAAAATATGTGACATTGGTAGCTGTACATCAAATCCAAGTGTCTCCCTGTTCAAGCCACTAAGACCCCCCCCCACCCCCTCCTAGTATAAGTCTTCACAGACTGTTGTGGCAAGTGCTGTAAAGCAAGCACATACGTACACATACAAACTTCAATGTGAGGTCTAAATACTATCTGTCCCTGAGTAAGTCCCTAACTCGTAAGCGCTTCAACGAATGTGTACATTTTGATTTAAAGCTTTCGTGACTGCAGGGATTCATATGATTGGTTCTTTCGGTAAAGTCACGTAGAAGGGAAACAACAAAACAATATAAACAAGATTTTTTTTAAAACATTTTCTTGCTGTGGATTTCACACCTGATGACGATTGCTTGTGTTGCAGTCGAAACGTCGTGAGAATTTGTATTGTTTTATGTTTATATTGTTTTGTTGTTTCCCTTCTACGTGACTTTACCGAAAGAACCAATAATATGAATGTGTACATGTGGTACACATTGGTCGACGGATTAAGTCCGACCGGGATTTGAACCCGCGACCTTCTCTGTGACGAGCGCACGAAACCAAAGCCCCTTTTCTCTCTCAATCCACTGCTGGATGACAGCCTCCCAGCGTGCCCTCGTCGATCAGTCGACCATAAGTGCGTCAACAGCGAGCAACACTTGACCACACTGCTTAGTGCAGACTTGCGGTTCAGATATAACTCGCCGTTAGCCGCGGCTCGGAGGGTCGAACTTATATCGGACTTGCATCGCCGCAGCGCACTAACAACCACCTCTGCACTCGCCAATGCTGTGTGTCGCAAGAGAGAGAGAGAGCAAGCGCCCTCTCTGAGGTTCAAGACTCGTTGTTAGGAGGATACTGACGGGGGAGGTTCCACCACATATTTTGCGTTTCGGATGAGACCTGAGAGTGTCGGGAGAAATCACTCCCCCCCCCTACACCCTCCCCCTCTCCCTTCAGACACACACACGCGTGTGGGCAACACTCGAAACATACAGCGGCACCTCTTCTAATTTCTGTACTGCCCGCATTTAGGCGCGCCTCCCATCTCAGCGTGATCCGACAACCCAACCAAACAAAATTCCTTTTGAAGTTTTGACCAGGTCAGGCCCGCTGAGCTATAGACCGTACAGCTCTTTATTTCAGAAGCGACCTGGCCGACAAATGATAGCTGGAACGAAGTGGCTCATCGCGCGTGGCGATTTTGAGCGGCCAAATCCTCGAAGCGCACGTTTCGAAATGTGGAGGCAAACACCGCGGAGGACCCGGAGGGGGGAAAAAAAACTCCACGCGACCACGAGAGCACGCAAGTTCCAAATATACGGCGGGCGTCGCGATCGCGACGGGATCGAACCCACGACCTCCTTGCGTAGCAGGCGAGGTAGTTAAGATCTCGCCACCGTGGCGGGCACATACCGATGGCTCCACGTCCCAGCTCACCCATTGCGGTCCTCTCTTCCCTTGCGTCTCTCCTCTCGGCGCTGCCTTCCCGTCTCTCCGTCACCGCTGCCGGCTCATCAGTCGCTCCCGCGCCTCTCGCCCGCAACCCCCTCGCGCGTTAAGAGAATCGACATGGTTCGTGAGCTCATGCAGGCGAGACCTCTAAGTTGAGGCTGATCGGATCAGTTAGAGAGAGAGAGAGACGGAGACGGACAAGACAGAGAGTGGGGAGATGGAGGGGTGCGGGAAATCGTGAACACGTTCTCTGGGTTTGTTTGGGGTGGAATTTGTGTGTGTGTGTGTTTTTGGAGTGTGTGTGTGTAGGGGAGGGGAGAGGGGTTGGTGAAAGTGTGCGTGTGTGTGTGTGTGTTTAGGAGTGTGTGTGTGTGTATAGTGGATAGGAGGTGCGTGTGTGTGTCAGTCGTCCAGTTCCGGCCTTCATAGTTGCTCGCTAACAGCCCTTTCCTCAAAAGTTGTTGTAGGATATATGGGAATATCTTAGTATGTGTGTGAGGACATGTTTCAGTGTGTCTGTACATATTTACCAATGTCTATGTATGTGTCCCTCTGTATGCTTGCATATGTATATCTGCCTCTTTGTATTTTTTTTTAATATCTGTGTATGTACGTCTATGTGTGTATGTAGGCGTCTTGTATCTGTGTATGACTCTGTATATATCTGTATTTTTGTCTTTGTATCTCTTTGTCTTTCTGTGTGTATCGGTAGTGTAGTGGTTAGCGTGCCGCACTACGAACCCATCGACCCAACCAACACCGGTGACGATTATCTGAACCGGTCCTGGGCCTCCCCTAGGTCGACTCAGCCTCAAATGAGTACCTGGTACGGTGTGTAAACATCGCCACTGGGGAGACAAAGGCGGCCGGGTGTGGTGCTGGCCACCCACCCCCCTCGTGTGCCGTGTCGGCCTTCATAGGTGCTCGTTAATAGCACTTGCCCCCACGGCATGTTAAGGCTACACGGGGGATCTTTGTCTCTGTCTCTATTTTCCCCCTTTTGAGACTGCGGTTTGTTGAAAGCTGTGGTCGTCATGACCACCCCTCGTGAAACCCCTCTCCTGAATTTAACAGCGCTCAATGAATGGCCTCGTGTGAGGGGGGGTGGGGGGGCCTGTGGAGGGGGGGGGTTGTGGAGGTGGGTGGGGTGGGGGTCACGGCCCATGCACAGAGGTCACCGTGGGACAAGAGCTGAATATTGAAGGACTAATTTTAAAAATGAGACCTTGACTTTCGTACATGCCCAGACCAACACCAACACGCCAACAACATTCAACCAGCGGCGCGATGACAGAATGACACATTCATTTTTCTTCGTCTTCACGATGCAACCAACACAACAATTCAGGTGTTATTCATAATATAGGTTTTGGGTCAGATCGCGTTATTTATAAATGTGTCGTAACCCTCCACCACCTGACACGGCCAAACAGTAAAAATGTGTCACGTTTTTCAAAGGACAAAATAATTCACTTCTTTAGCCCACCGGTGTGTTGAAGAGAGAATCAACAGCATTTTTTTATTTGAGTACGACGTTTCGCTGGTGATTACAATCAGCTTCATCGGGCAAGAATGGTGAAGCTCTCCTGTTGCTTCCGGTCTTAGAATAGAGCAGCAGCAGGGTGACGTCATCATTTAATTTAATTCAATCTGGTGCAGTGATTCGAGGCAAAGAGGGGGAGGGTATTGTAATTATATAGATTGGTAATCATTCAATTGTTATTCATTGGTATGTTTCCCTTATAAGGAATTTTTATTGTATTCATAATATAGGTTTTTGGGTCAGATCGCGTTATTTATAAATGTGTGTATATCTGATTCATTGTTTATGTGGCAGATGCTATTTTGGACAGACGGGACGCAACATCAGCGTAAGATTAAAAGAACACTAAAGAAACATTAAATTAGCTCAAACACAGCTGTCGGCAGTGATAGAGCATGCTTGTCAACAAGGACACTCAATTGATTTTGATAACGTTGAAGTGTTGTGTAAAACTAATTATTACCGGCCAAGACTAATTAGAGAATCCATTGAAATTGAGAGAAACAGAAATAACTTAAATCGCTCTGACAGCTACAGGCTTAGTGCGGCCTGGAAGCGTATTATACAGGTAGGAACCATGTTCCACACTGCCCACCAGGGATTTATTGTCTGTCTGTGTGTCTGACCATCTGTCTGTTTGTTTGTCGTGCATAAATAAATATATAACAACACGTTCCTTCGGAGTGGGCAGGTAGGAACTTGGTTGGACAGCGCATTCGTGCGATCCGTGTTGGATACCGTAGTCATGTTGGAGGTTGTAGCTGTTACTATTGCATCTGATGATGATTGTTGATTTATTGCTGTAGGTCTTAAAGTTCATGCTGCTGCTGCAGCAGGTTGCGCCTGTGCTGTGACGCCACCTCCTGCGTGTACCACGCGCGCCAATCCACCTGACCTGGTCTTTGAACGGCCACGATGTTGTCGTGATGGCGCACCAGGTGCATGATGTTGAGCAGGGCGTAGACGCCGCAGTCGAGAAAGGTCACCTGCGGGCGTTGCACCTCGACAGGACCGTCTTGGAAGAAACAAATGGCGTTCCCCGTTGATGTGGCTGGCCCTTATCAAGATGTCAATATTGAAGGCTCGGGGGGGTAAAATCGCTCCCTGTATAAGATTCAAATACTGTCAATAATAGCTGTATTATAATAAAATACTGTCAATTATCCATTTTCACACTCACGATGTATGTAACATGTCAGAATAATTTATAAATAAGAAATGCCAAATCTATTTTTTTCAAATTAAGAAATGGCAACCTCGTGTCTTACCCACAAATGTAGCAACTACCCAAAACGTTGAGTAGGCACGTAAAATAAATTCATCAACTGAAATTGATTATGCTCCTGACAAATAAACAAGTCACGTGAGATTAGATTATTTACAATGCATGTACATTACATGCCAATGTTCATCATCATCATCAGCCATGCTCAATATACTGCTGGGAGAAAAGGTTCCCCAATATTTTCCCCGATATTGTCACCATCCCTCATGATCTTGTGATCCACCCAGCTCATGCGCATGATATGATCTCATTGCTTCATCTCTGTGGTGGTTATTTTCTCACACGTGTTTTCTCCATCGGTTGACATTCCATCCCAAGTTCTGTCCACTTGCTATTATCCCTTTAAGTCACGATGTGTCTTGGCCAAGCCTAATTAAAACTCTACTTGCATTTTTGCAATGTTGCATTGAGGAGAAAGTAAAGTAACCAAAAATAACTGTATGAATTAAAATAGAGATGGTCAAAATGAAAAATAATAATAATGAAATAATGACTGTAAATCTATCACAATTAATTGAAAAACTGGAAAGTGTGCTGGGAGTGGGGGGGGGGGCTCCAGTTGAATCGTAAACATGGCCACAGGCAGCCATTGCCACCATGCACACATGTCCAGTTAGGGATGTTCATTGAATTTTTAAGGGTGTTGCGATAATTGCATGCACAAAAGCTTATTAAAAAAACCATTACCAATCTTCAGCACACCCACAATGACCGGAGTGAAATATGGTCAAAACAAGCTCAATGACTGACATGGCGTGGTTAGGCCTTCATCTAGCCGTGGCTTGACCAAGTGGTGTACGTTTATTATATTGTTTATATTGTATCTATAATGATCAGAACAATGACATTGCAAGATGCGTCTGTAAAAATGCGTGCCATGCGCCAAGCAGTTTGATCAAGTACTCAAAAAGTAGAAGATTATAGATTCCATGACTTAGGAATCAATACAATATTCCATAAGCAAACGGTACAAATCGATAATAAAAGTGCAGGAGATACAAAACACTGAGTACGCTTCGCCAGTACTCTAACTTACAATACGATATTATATGTGCATAGGCAGCTTATTCTGCGTCAAGAGATACGAGAAAAAAGCGTATCAATATACTCATGGTGTTTTTAGTGATAAAGCAAATATCTGTGGAGTCACGTACCGCCTTGAAGACTCTTAATAGAAGACTTAATATTTACGTTGAAGCCTATTCGCCATTGTTTATAGAAGACTTATATTTACGTTGAAGCCTATTCGCCATTGTTTGAAGCACCATCGGTGGGGGAGGGAGAGAGCACAGAGGTGGTGGGGTGGGAAAGGACTGGCATCAAGATGGCGTCGAGTGGCATGGGAGAGTTAACGCAGCGAATAAGATGCACGACAGACAGACAAATAATCCCTGGTGGGCAGTGTGGAACCTGTTGTTCCTACCTGTATGTAGAAAAATAACTTGACTTTAGGTAGCCAGGCAGACAGCCCGCTTAACTATCGCCCCCCCTCCCTTAGGCCCCTCCCCTGAACCTCCTCCCTTAGGCACCTCCCCTCTCCGTACCCGGAATAGGTTTCCACCAATCAAAGAGCTGTTTATGTTATATATTTATTTATGCACGACAAACAAACAGACAGATGGTCAGACACACAGACAGACAATAAATCCCTGGTGGGCAGTGTGGAACATTGTTCCTACCTGTATAATACGCTTCCAGGCCGCACTAAGCCTGTAGCTGTCAGAGCGATTTAAGTTATTTCTGTTTCTCTCAATTTCAATGGATTCTCTAATTAGTCTTGGCCGGTAATAATTAGTTTTACACAACACTTCAACGTTATCAAAATCAATTGAGTGTTCTTGTTGACAAGCATGCTCTATCACTGCCGACAGCTGTGTTTGAGATAATTTAATGTTTCTTTAGTGTTCTTTTAATCTTACGCTGATGTTGCGTCCCGTCTGTCCAATATAGCATCTGCCACATAAACAATGAATCAGATATACACACATTTATAAATAACGCGATCTGACCCAAAAACCTATATTATGAATAATATTGGTCGAGAAAGCCTCCGTGTTAAATTCAGGTGTTGTCAACCAGCAGAGGGTAGTGGGAGAAACACCAATTGTTGTACTGTACTATGCCTCGACGTCCTATGCTCCCCCACCTTCACCAACCCGCGTTGATCAGCGTGGCGAGGCACGGTCAAATCACCCAGAGCCGGCCCAGCCATTAAGCGACCCTTGCAATTGCAAAGGGCCCCGTGGCCAGCAGAGGGCCCCCTAGAGTCACTGCTAGCTAGTGGGTGAAAACAATCATACATCAAAGGGGCCTCCAACCAAATTTTGCTTAGGGCCCCCAAAGGTCTAGGGCCGGTTCTGAAATCACCCCTCACGGAAATGCACGGTGTGCGGGGGACCTCATCCAGCAGCGGCGGTACACAAACGTGATCCGTGACGATATGAAAACGACGGTGGAGTCAGACAATATAACGCAGTGGGAACGTCACCGCACCGCTGGACGCGTTGATGCGGGAAGGCTCGCAGGCTAATGGATTTGAATGTGGTATTATATATGCAGAGTGTCGCGCCCTAACACGATGGGTGTTTCTGGGCCCTGCCACGGAAACGTGGAAACATTGATCACCATCGAATATCCATCACCCGCTATGATTAGCAATAAAGACAAAACACTCATGAATTCAATGGGAAAATATTGGTCCAGAAGGCAGATAAGGCGGACGGATATGCATTTCATTGCTTTCCATATTTATGTCTTTATTATCATGCTATATGTTTAAGTTATATACAATATATGATATATATATTTTAAATAGTGGTGAGACAGAACCTTGTGTCTTTGTGTGTATCGGTCTCGTGGTTAGCGTGCTGCACTACGAACCCGGCGACCCGAGTTCGATTCCCGCTCACGGCCAACACCGGTGACGATTATCTGAACCGGTCCTGGGCCTCCCCTAGGTCGACTCAGCCTCAAATGAGTACCTGGTGCGGTGTGTAAACATCGCCACTGGGGAGACAAAGGCGGGCCGGGCGTGGTGAACGGCCACCCACCCCCTCGCGTACCGTGCCGGCCTTCGTGCGTGCTCGCTAACAGCGCTCTGTATTGTTAATTTATGGAAGGTGGTGTGATGTCTGGGTCTGCCTGCAGTGAGTGAATAAATGAATGACTGAATGAATCAGCTCCCCCCCATCACCACCCCACCCCCCTTTGCCGTGATGTTGCTTTATGCTCCGGGGCCGAGCATCGCCGCTGGACGTGCGGCGCAAAGCGGACGCCGCGGAATTCGAACCAAGAACAACTTCGGCCACATAACAAACCCCGCGGAGGTGAACGGCTGGGACGTTGAAGATCCTCTGACGCCCCACGGAACTCGTTGTGCCTCCCACCAACCTCCGCTCCACTGGGTGATAGGGCCTTCTCCTCAGTTGCCCCTAAGGCGATGGAACATCACTGACCGTTGAGATCAGATCCGCTGAGTCAATCTCAACCTTCAAATCTCAATTAAAAAACTGTTCAAAAGCTTGTGTTGCCCCCGAAACGTCGTGATTTTTATTTTATTTTACTTTTTTAATGTTTTACCTACGTGACTTTACCGAAAAAGCCTAAGAATATGTTCAAAAGGGTCTTAAAAATCTGGCTTCAATTCCCTCCTCTACTCTCCCACCTGGTATATCCTGTCCCTTGAATGCTCTCCAATGCTGTTCTGATGTTTTATACATACGCACATTGTTTTTTTTTCTTCACGCACATAGTTTGTTTTAGTATGTATAATATTGAATACTTTTTACTGTTCAGTGCTTCGAGCGTGGGAAAAGCGCTATATAAATAAAATGCATTATTATGAAATCGCCCTCGCCGTCGAAGCGCATAACGGCCACTCAAAGAATGAAGAGTTGCACGATGCAATGCAAAACAGGCTCAAAGGGGAATTTGACCGCGTGCGTGTGCGTGTACATCAAGGTCATCGGTGAACATCCTGGACTGATGAGTTGAGACGTGGGCCTGCGGTGAATTTAGCACGGAGGCTTCCGTGACCAAATGTTACGATTTGTAAATTGACGTGGGGTCAGATTGCGTAAGATCTGCACCGTTAGACCCTCCTCTCCCCACCTGACACGCTCCCGAATCGTATCGTCTGGAAACTGCCGGACGATGCCGGTTGTAATCACCAGCAAAAAAAACGTCGTGCCACACTGCTAAACGGCAGACCGAAGCAGTAATAAACTGGCAAGATTGTTGATGTGACACGTGTTAACTGGAGTAAATCATTTGGTCCACTATTTAGTCATTCAATGCAGACGTGATGGTGCCCTTTCCAATATTACCAGGTCAGCCAATCGTTGAGCTCAGTGCCATGTCCTGTACATTTCGCCGATTTTCCACTTCCAGTCCGCCGTTCAGTGATCGCCATCTGCGTCCCCGCCTATGAAGTCAACTGCTTCGCGATGATGAGTCGCGCTTTGGTCTTTGGTGTGAGTAGCGAGTCATCGTCGTCGTCGTCGTCATCCTCGTCGTCGTCGTTACGCTTGACTTTCATCAACTCATGAAAATCTTTGGCTAAACGAAACGCGGTTTAACACACAGTAGGCGGCTTTCGCGACCAATATCATCCATAATACATGTTTTTTTGGGGGTTAGATCGCATGCATATATAAATGTGTGTCGTTAAACCCGCCACCACCCGACACAGCCAATTAGTCATGTTTTTTCACGTAAACAGAGCATGCCAATTCGTTATTAGTGCAGCACGCCGGTGTGTTGGAGAGCAAATCCACAACATTTACAATTTGAGTCCGACGTTTCGCCAGTAATGGCAACTAGCTTCATCAAATCTAACCGGCTTTCTCGCCAGGAATTACAACTCTCCAACACACCGGTGTTGCTGTACTAGTAACGAATTGGCCACGTTCTGTTTACGTGCCAAAACATTACTAATTGGCTGTGTCGGGTGGTGGCGGGTTTAACGACACATTTATATATTTACGCGATTTAACCCAAAAAAAAACTGTGTCATGGATAAACGAAACACGTTGATAAACACTCTTATCGACACACGCATTTTTTTTTCTCTCGCTGATGTCGTGAACAAAATAAACGCTCGTGAGATATTTCATAGTTTCCAGAGACTCGGGAGACCAACGGGACGTCGTGGATGTCGCATCTGTCAATCGCAGAGGTGCATTTTTTATTTCACGCTTTTATTTAACTCAATTCGTCTGTTGTATCCTCAAAAAATAAATCTTGTAACTCAATTTTTACACACTTCCCAATGAGCTATCGACTGCAAACTTCGTATAGGTATGTCATACTGATGACAACACGATATTCTATTATAAAAAAAATCCAAAATATGTATTTTAAAACTTTAAACACGCTTTTATTTAACTTATTGTATGTGTTGCATCCAAAAATCTTGTAACTCAATTTCAACCGTATTCCCAATGTCGTATCGACTGCAAAACTTGGTATAGCTATGTCATACTGATGACAATACTATATTCTATCATAAAATTTTAATTATATATTTTTAAACAATCGTTTTAACGGCTCTAATTGTCCACGCTCAACTCACGTTGCCTGTAAATCACCACGGTCCCTGACGTCACGGCAAGCCTCGGGGAGCCACGGCCAGGGGCGGGGGATGTGGAAGGAGGGGAGGGGCGATGGGGGAAGGGGGCAGGGGCAGGGGCAGCTCGGACAGTACATTTCATTAAAGCGTTCTTTTAAAAAAAGTATTTTTAAATATTTTATTACTTTACATAATTATATCTCGGGGGGTCCGGGCATTGACAGATCTTTTGTGGGATGACTCTCACAGACCACTCAAGTGCAAAACACATTAAGTCTCACCAGAGCGTCCAAACCTTTCATTCTTTTTATTTACGTATTCATTTTACCAGCAAATATTATAAGATATGAAATCAAACGCACGCTTACTGATATGAGGCATGATACTGAACCACCCCAACCTCCCAGAATAAAACCAACCGAACTTGATTTCAAGTAAACTGAGCACTACATCAAAATATATTTTAAATAAATATAGTCTTACTTTCGAGTAATAAATTAAATTGAATCATAAAGCGCTGTGCCTGGGTGTGCGTGCGTGTACGTATGCATATTTGTGCGCGCGTGTGTGTGTGTAAATGTGTGCGTGTGTGTGTGTAAATGTGTGTGTGTGTAAACGTGTGCGTGTGTAAATGTGTGCGTGTGTGTGTGTAAATGTGTGTGTGTAAATGTGTGCGTGTGATTGACAGCTCAGCGCTCATTAAATACAGACGTTACCGCGACGCGATGGTGCGGTACACATCACGGGAGGAGGGTTTTCTAAGCGCAAAAAGCCGGAACGAGTCACGAACTTCACGATAGTAGAACCATGCAAGTTCAAAGTCCTAGGTCCCCATTTCAAAATCTAGAAGAGGCATACGCACACACAACTGCCTAATCGCCCATCCACCCGTCCGTCTGTCTTTGCCAGTCCCGTTCGCCTCTACACTCACAAAGTTCATACTTTATTGGTATTATAATACACGGGCGTACGCAGTTCTGCAACAACAAAAAAAAGACGTGGGGAGGGGGGAAAATACATCGTGTGAGTCACTTTTACCCCACATCCCTGACCCAGAGTACAGGCTACACACTAATATGGTGGGTTCATGGGCGTGCGTGCAGGTCAAAACATTTAGAGAATTGCCGTTAGCATCGCCACCGTCCTTGTCAACATTGTGGTGACGATTATTGCCGTCGATGTTACGTAATGGCATTGGCCGCAATCGTCTGTTTCGTATCGCATAACAAAGGACAATATTGAGCATGTAGCTATCTCTGGTAGTGGTGGTGGCTTGTTTTTTTTTGCTTCATATATATACTGTATATATGTATATTTCATGTATGTATATTACGAGATTATATACATATTAGATGGCAAGAGTACATATGGCACTTTGTAGAATGTCAAAAAAACATTAAACTTAACGGCGGGACCGTGGGTAATCACGCCATAGGTGTAGCCCCATTTCAACACCCACTGTGAATACAAAACCCAGGCGCTGGTGGCATGGATTCATTCAATTGTGCAATATGCTTCTGTGTGTGTGTGTATAACTATGTATAGTGTGTGTTTTGATGCGTGTGCGGTAGTGAAGTGATTTGCGCGCTGCTCTACAAACCCGGCGAGCCGAGTTTGATTCCCGCTCACGGCCAACACCGGTGACGATTATCTGTACCGGTCCTGGGCCTCTCCTAGGTCGACTCAGCCTCAAATGGGTACTTGGTGCGGTGTATAAACGTCGCCACTAGGGAGACAAAGGCGGTCGGGCGTGGTGTTGGCCACCCACCCCCTCGTGTAGTGTTCCGGCCTTCATAGATGCTCGCTAACAGCACTTTCCCCAAGTCTGTTAAGGCTATATGGGGGATCTTTGTTTTTTGTATGAATGAGCCGATCCTGCACCTCCCCTAGGTCGACTCAGCCTTAAATTTGTACCTTTTGCGGTGTGTAAACATCAGCACCAGGGAGACAAAGGCGGTTGGGTGTGGTGTTTGCCACCCGCCCCCTTGTGTTCTGTGTGGGTCTTCAAAGGTGATCGCTAACAACACCTGCCCCAACGGCCTGTTGAAGGCTGTATGGGGGGGGATCTTTGACTTTGTATATGAAATGCGTGTGTATGTGCGAAGCTCTGGTGCAGAGGTTCACACAACGCACTATGAACCCGAATAACATGGGGTTCGACTCCAGGTGAAAGATAAAATCAGTGGCATTAAGTGTTATCTGAACCTGTCCTTGGCTTTCCCAATGTCGATTCCGACTTAAATAGGTACCTAATGCAGTTGAACATCAGTACTGGAGCAACAAACGTGGCCAGGCATGACGCTAGCCCATATTTACGAGGAATATTGATGTGTCAGAATGTCGACGGCTGTGCTTATGGACATGCTTGCATATCTACCCACACATGTATGCACCGCGAATGTTTGCGTGCATGGTTTGAGTTGCTTTAAACTGTTTATTTTTTATTTAAACTTATTTTTTTATATTACCAGGTAAGGCCCGCTGAGCTACGTAGCTGTTTTCAGAAGTGACCTGACTGATCATGTGAAAATTTATAGCAGACAAACGCTCTAAACGCATGTTTCTAAATGCAGAGGGGAAATAATAAACCGGAGGACCCGGAGAAAAACCCACGTGACCAAGAACATGCAAACTCCAAATATACAACAGGCATCAGCGTAGGGATCGAGCCCATGACCTCCTGTATACCAGGCGAGGTAGTTAACATCTCGCCCCCACGGCACCCTCTTGGGGCAGGCAGTGCCGCACCGCCGCAGTGTGTGCCCCAAGTGTTCGCGCGCTCTCAGAGTGTTTAAACATCTGAGCTACCCCCAGCGTGGGGGGTTGGTGGCCTGCCCAGCACACCGTGTCGCCACCACCAGCACCGACCGGCCGTGACACCGCACACCGTGGTGGCGAGTGCACGATACGCGTGCGGAGGGCGAGCCTGGCGAATTGCGGGGTCCCAACTTATACAACCCCCGCCCCCACCCCCCGCATCGCTCACCCTCCCGCCGGGTCGTCTTATACTTGTGGATGGAGGGAACCTCCTAAAAAACACACATTGGGTCAAAACAAACTCGCTCTATTGGAGTTGTAAGCCTTGGAGGTGGGGTGTGGGGGATGGTTGGGTAGTGGGCCTTGGTGCCCCCCCCCCCACCGAACTGCTCAGAAATGTCTGCATTTACATTTGTGCTCTGGCGTTTTGTGTGACTTTGCGTAACTTTCACGTTAAATTCCCCTGTAGTGAGGCGATGTGGTCCTCTTGCCGTTAATGTGAATTGAAATGCAATATGGCCTGAAAGAATGCGTGCATGATATGGTACAGGGCTTTTCATTATGTTTTTCTCATGGCTATTAGTGGGGGGGGCGGGGGGGGGGTTGATAACTACCGTACGAAAAATGCAAAGATGGTTACTCCAGGGTGCGAAAAGGCCTTCACAAAACACTTTGGGCCCAGAGTGCGTGTGGGCACAGCGGCGGCAGAGCGATGGGTCGCACGTTCTGCGCAAGATTGTCCCCTCGATAGCGGAGGTTCATGAATACCCTGTACTGTTCGCAAACGGACGCCTGCCCGTGGCCCAGCTTCAGCGCCGGGTATGGCCGTGTGGTTATGAATAAATGTGTCACGAGGCGTGGGATTGGAGCCACTGTTTGCCAAGCCCTGCTTCCCGTTGGCACCAATAAAAGGCTTAGAAAACGAGATTTCGCCAACACTGCTCAGCAACGCGGTTTGGTTTAAAGGAGCGTTGTTTTAGGGACGTTTTTTTGTTCAGTGTAAATTTTTGTGTGGCAGATTTTTCTGCTTCCTAACCTACAACATTGGGGCTAGGAGATGGCCTCTGTTCGTCAGCAGGAAAGTTTGGCACAAATAAAGAACTGAGAAGAACAACAACCAAACAGACACGCTTACGAGTAGATAAGTACAATGGGTGAAGATAATGGAGAGAAGCATAGTGATTGTGAACAACCATTTTAGTTATAGCCCAAGTACAGAAAAGGAAAACCGAAAAGAATAGAACTCAAATGTCAACTTCACATCCCATAGTAGTGTCCCAGGAAGCCGTCGCCCATGACTGTCTGCCAGAGCTCATTTACTCCACTTAAGCCAACGGCTTAGCCTGGGGCCACACCCCAGCTTACAACTGAGTCTGGGCCCACACTTTGGCCTATCGCCTGAACTGGAGCCAGGCGATAGGCCTGCCATGAGCTCATACTCCAAGCCTATAAACTACCCTGTGCCCACACTCCGGCCTAAAGCCAGCCCCCAGCAACAGTCCGAACTAGGGCCACACGCCATTCTACAGACTGGCATGAGCCCACACTCTGGTCTAAAGCCGCGTCTGGGCCTCAGGCATGAACGAAGCCTCCACGCTGCTGGCCTTCTCCATGCGCGCGGCGCGGTCCGCCGCCGCCGCCACGCCCCCGGCGCCCAGCGGGCCCTCGGCGCCCTCCAGCCAGCCCCGCGGCCGGCTGTCGAAGTCCACAGATCGCTGCCGGCAGGGGAAGGACGGCAACGAGCCCTTGGGTGGTTTCTTGGGCACCGGAGGCGGCACCTTCCGCTCCTCGCGGAAGAAAGCGGCGCGCCGCTCCTCCACCATCAGCGGCGGCGGTAGCATGTGCAGGGGCGGCAGCGGCGGCGAGGAGCTCCGGGACGACTTGGACTCTTCCAGGGGAGACGGTGCCCTCTTGTCTGCCTGGGCGGTTGGGGCCACCCTCCTGTCGTCCTGCTCTCGCTGAACAGCAGAGGAATAATACAAAGATTAAATATAGCATATATAATGATACATATACAGAATAAATATTGGCAGTGATGAGCGGGAAACTGGCACTTTTCGGACACAGATGTGGGATGGGCAACAATAGGAAAATGAAAAGTGCGTTGTTTTGGAAAAATGGAATGAGCCGGAAAAAAAGGAAGACCTAACAGAGAAGGCTTGACGGCATAAGAGCTTGGTGCAAGGAAGATGTGACACTACTTGAGAATATTGGCACAAGACAGAGGAAAGTAGAAAAATGTGATGAAATGTGCTGTGGACACATACGGCTATCTGCCCATGGATCGTGATGATTACACAGCTATATTTATCAAATGAACTGGGGGCAGTGATGCTTATTTTATGTTTACGATTATATATTCCTGTTAAATTTTATGATAGGACAATCACTGTTGACTTTTACGAGATTGTTAATTATTTTATCAGCCTTGGAAGACTGACGGACTGAGTCGATTCCTGATCTGGACTTGGAAATAGTCAACCCATACTACCTGCAGAAAATGTACACATACGTACAACTTTCAACAAAACACAAGGTGAAACACGAGGACAATGGATTCGAATATGAGATTCACCTGCCTGTGATTAAAATAGGTTCTCAAGTGTAGCGATTTTCGAGGTATCAGCCTAGTCAACAATAGCTAATATAGAGACTCATTGAGTTATACAGAGACCCACAGACTCACATAGAGACATAGAGACTAGAATAAAGACCCAAAGACTTACACAGATTGAAATGTGATGACACAAGGCTCTCAAGTGTACCGAGTTGATGGTCTAAGCATGCTCACCGAAGACGGCATGAGCAAACCCATCAAAATAAATTGGGGTTTTCACACAACATGGAAACATTTCACCTCTGAGAATGAAACAAATTGCAATTTGACCACCTTGGGAAAAAATTATTCCCTATTCCAGGCATGTGGTAAGTGCATCGCCGCGTGTGTAGATTCAAAGTGATCTCGGAAGCAGTTCTACGATATCTCCCTCTGCGGGACGCTTTCTGAGACACGCGGTGACGCATCGACTCCTGTGAGAATTCTCAGGACATGATGCCGATGTGCATCTCCAGCCCTTCTCTCAAGCCACTGCTGGACGAGTGCCTTTCCACGTCACGTCGGGGTGTTTTTACAACATTGGTGAAGATGAGGAGCAAAGACGCCAGAGCACAGAGAAGATCACAGCAATGGATTCTGCTGCAGTGTCCCCTGCCCACACTGTAGCCACGCAGCAGCAGCAGCCTAGGACACCAGTTTGTGTGTATGTTTAACTTTTTTTTCGCACTGTACGTAGTCAATCCTTGCTAATTGGAGGTGGTCACTCATCTAAGCCCTATCCAGGCGCCTCCAATACGAGACCAGGCGCACCGCAGGTGATTTGTTTATAGGTTGGATGCTGACAACGTAACTGCAATCAAATCGTGGACAAAGCCAAACAAATAGTACAAATTCAACCCTGCGGATAATTGCACGAACCCCACACCCCCCCCTCCCTCAACTACCGTCCCCACGACCAGCCGCGGCACGGGTACTCGCCTTGCGGTCGCCGTTCTCGGCCGCTTTCCAGTCGTTGGCTCGGAGCTGCAGCAGCTCGTCGAACTTGAGGCTGATCTCCTCGATGGAGAGCTGCAGCGTTTCCCAGAAGCGTGCCATCTCCTGCGACGTAGCCCACGCATCCGCGCCAGGGTCCTGGGGGCAGCCGCGGACACGAAGTGGGAGGCCCCCAGAGGAGGGGCAGTTGATGCGATTAGATAAACACAGCGGTGGGGAAACCTCCTTCTTGCCAAAGATCGGGGGCGCCAGGGTGGTGAGATATTAACTACCTCGCCTGGTATACAGGAGGTGGTGGGTTCGATCCTGACCTATTTATATATTTTAAAAAATACATATATTTGTATTATTATTATTATTATTCTTTTACCAGGTAAGGCCCACTGAGCTACATAGCTCTTTTTCATAAGCGACCTGACCACAAATGATAGCTCAACGACCACGGGGAAAACATGCAAACTCCAAATTTACAGGCATCAGGGTCGGGATCAAACCCACAACCCCCCCGTGGTCGCGTGGATTTTTGAAGGGAACTTAGAAGTAGCTCTGTGAAATCCGCTTCTATGGGCCATTCTTTTAAACGAAGGGTTGCAGTGCTCTGCGAGAGAGCCTAACTGATTTTTCATTTGCGATGTGACAATGATACTACAAACAGGATAACATTTGATAAAACATATTTTTGTTGTTTAACAAAAATACCAGTGATTGGCCAATCTGAAGTCACTATAGCCTGTAACCCTAACCTTATAACACTGACCACTAAAAAAAACCATGAAGACAGCTGCAATTCCATCCCCACTGATGATATAAAGGGAGAGATTCCACAAACTTTTCAGGCTTAGGTTGCGTGAAAGAGCAATCCGCAGCAGCAGCCAGCTCACTTAATTCATCTTAATCCTGACGGCAGCTTTTGTTAACCCATTCACGGTCCCCATTCTCCCCCCCCCACTCCGCACACTTGCATCCCGAGCGGCAAACGAGAGTGCGGCAGTGATTTATGGTCACATTGCGGTGGCGTCTCAGTTTATGCTAATCATGCGCCCAGACGATCGGAAACATCCTCACCGCAACCGCCACGGTCGGGACCTCGCGTCCCATTTGCGTTTGGCCCTTATTTTGTCTCCGCCGTTTGATGCGCAATTAGCCGCAATGAAGATAAAAATTCTTTGCCCAAGGGGTTTTGAGTCACGCAATCCTCCTCCCGAGGCACCGGCGAGCGAGAGGCCGCCTGCGAAAGCCCTTGCTCGCAACGCAAATAAACTGTGGCACAACGGAATGAAGGAATAGCGCCGACCGCGTAACGAGCAAATGCCGACGGATGAACGTGCAGCTGTACAATCAGTGGGCGTATAAGATTTCCATCTCCCCCATCACCACCACCACCGCCACCATTGGCCATAGAGACTCCGTGATTATCATCACGGAATCTGGGTTGGGATGCGATTTGAGGAAAAATTGGTTATTTCTTATCATGGAACCTTTTTTCAAGTATCAAAGTATGAAAAATAAGAATAGGTGTTACCCTTTCTGGCAATAAAACAGGAGGTGTTAAGATGTTCAAACACCAAATAGTTACCTTTTGCAAGGAATCAAGTCTGCATTAACCACACGTACTTGTGGTGAACATGCACACAAACATGCTCTGATAATGTATGCATTGTCTTTGAAACTGGTGTTGGCCAATCAGTGTTTGGTGTTTGAACATATTATTTCTTGTCTTGCTTTTGCCGTATTGATTGCGTTGCTTCTCTCTTTTTTTATTGCTCCGTCTCATTTGTACGATTTTTTGTTCCACTCCATTCGGCTAAACGTGACAATTGTCACATAATTTGAAAACAATCTGCGTAAAAAACATCATCGTTTCTCGCGAGCGGCATTCTACGCATGTAGCGCGAGTGCAATCATCTATTTTAATCGATGAAGAAGAAGTGACTGAACGGGATATACATTGAAACGTTGTGTTGTCGGGTCGACACAATTCTCCCATTCTGGTACCCATTCGTGAGGCTGAAAAACAGCTGCAGTGACACACGGCGAGCGTTTGCCGTCCATTTTCGAAACGGTCGGCCGAGTGAAACGGAGGTCACGGGGTCGCGTGCCGCCCACGTGCTGTGGCCTCTCCCGCCCCTGCTGGTGAGACTGTGTGTGTGCGATGTAGCGGCAGCGGCTCACCGTGCACTGGTAACACAGCTCGTGGAACTGCTGGAACTTCTCCGTCATGAGCTCGTGGGCGCTGCCCACCGCGTTGGCGATCTTGCCGAGCACTGCCGGAGGGGCAAGGAGCCGGAGTTAAAACAACGACCACGTCCCTTCATCGGTCTCATCAGAATCTTTGTTTAGACCGGAGGAATCTGATAAGCGTGAAGCTCTGTTTCACACCACATGTCCAGTATGGGTGGGCCGGCATCATCATCCTCAGCCGTGCTCTATCCACGGCTGGATGCAGCCTACTCACACACACCAACACGTCACTCGCAGGAGGAGGTCTGTTGTTGACTTCCCGACAAAGTTATTGAATTTTTTTAACTCTTGAGATGCGATGGGCTGGCTCAATGCCTGATTTGCGAGTCCAGCATCCAGCCAGGTAAACAATAGCATGGCGATGATAATTGCATGTTTTGCTTCAATAGAGGACTAATGAATGAGTCCCCTCTATTGAAGCCTCGTCATCGTGTCCATGTGCAATCACGTCAAAGTGTTTCTGTGCCACTCATTTCACTTTCATCGAATGCGACACAGGTGATCTTTGTTGCTAAAGTGGAATAATGACGACTGCCGCCACCGTGCAACACAACTACAGGCAGCACCACCACAACCACTGCCACCATCACAACCACAGCACCACCCACAACCACTACCAACATCACAACCACAGCACCACCACAACCACTACCAACATCACAACCACAGCACCACCACAACCACTGCCACCATCAGAACCACAGCACCACCACAACCACTGCCACCATCACAACCACAGCACCACCACAACCACTACCAACATCACAACCACAGCACCACCACAACCACTGCCACCATCAGAACCACAGCACCACCACAACCAATCACAACCACAGCACCACCACGACCACTACCAACATCGCAGCCACAGCACCACCACAACCACTGCCAACATCATAACCACAGCACAGCCACAACCACTGCCACCATTACAACCACAGCACCACCACCACCACCACCACCAACCACCACAGACAGACAGCACCACTCCTAAACTCATGTCTTTACAACTTCTTCTTGTGTTTAGTTTGTTGTCGATTCCCCGCACCTCCAATGAGCACGGTTGGCTATGTACGGTGCGAATGAAGTTCAACAAACAAACATCCTCACCACCTAAACCATACTAATTTGAGGCCGAGTCGACTTAGGGGAGGCCCAGGACCGGTTCAGATAACCGTCACTGGCGTTGGCTGTGGAGCGGAAATAGAACTCGGGTCGTCGAGTTCGTAATTCAGGGGGCTAACCACTGTGCCACTGCTCCCCACCTCCGCCACCAGAACCAGGACTGCCACCTTCCACCACCACAAGAACATGAGGTATCGTACCTCGGTTAAAACTGTTTTGTATGAGCAAATGCCTCCATCCACAGGAGTCTTCTCATTGACTACATTTAGTGATCCCCGCAGGACCACGGGCATGAGCAGAGTAGGCTTATTGAGGCGGGCTCCAAGTGCCCATCCCTGCCACCCGATTTACCATACCCACAATCCCTCATTATTCACTAGCAGAGCAAGACTTAAGGGTAGAAGATATATTCATTCAAGAATGACACCTCCAAAACAGCTTGGAGAGAGAAAGAGAGGTGAGGGGTGGGGGGGAGATGGAAAAGTCTGACAGAACAAAACACAGTCGAAGGGAAAGTTCGACGGACGCACTGAACGGCTGACCCAGGCCCGTCATGTGGAGCCCTAAATATGTGGCGGAAAAAAGTGTCACGGGGATGGACGGGTGGCATTCTTGTGGGCAAAAACACCACGAGCACCACCAGCAGCAGCAGCAGCAGCACGAGCGCTCCACCCACCTTCCTGCGGGAGCTCATTCTCGCGGGCTTCTCGCTCCATCTGGTAGCACCACCCCTCCATGCGCTCCCGCTCCGCGCGCAGCAACCGAGCAAACCACGGCCCGTCGTGCCGGGACAGATGGTGCGGGGGGGGCGGCACCGGCGGCGGCGGCGGCGGTGGCGGCGGCGGCGGCGGCGGAGGCGGAGGCGGTGGCGGAGGCGGTGGCAGCATGAAGGGCAGCGGCACGGGCGATGGCCCCATCGCGTCGTTGGGCATCCACGGCTCGGGGGGCGGTAGCCCCGCCGGGTCGAAATCTGCCAGGCTGTCGTCCAGCTCCACCTCCGCCTGCCGCTGGATCTGCGCGAAGCGGGGGCTGCCGCCGTGGTAGTGGTGGTGGTGGTTCGGTCGCGCCGGCTCAGGCCCGGCGGTGGCCAGGCTCGGGGGGGGCGGCCCAGGCGAGCCGTGGGCCGCGGTGCCGGTGGTGGCGTAGCCGCGCGTCACGTGCGGGTGCGCGGCGACGGCGGCCGCCGCCGCCACCGCGGCTTCGGCGGCCGCGGCCACGGCGGCGGCGGCGGCGGCGGAAGCCGAGGCGGAGGTGGAGGCGGCGAGGGCGTCGGAGTCGGAGCTGCGGCGTGGGGGAGGGGGAGGGGGGGGCGGCTTGAGGCCGCGGTAAGAGTGGACGCGGTCCAGGCCGCCGGGGGCCGGCGCCGGCGTGTCACCCTCGTACAGGTTCGCCTGCACGCTCGCCGAGATGCTGTTGGAGCGCGCGAAGCGGTGGTGGAACCTGGGGGCGGAGAGGGGATGCCGGCTCAGCCTGCGAGGTGGCCAGGAGCTGGAAGTACATGTTGCACGTGAACACGGTGCGGTTGTTTAATTGTATTTGACCGGGTAAGAAGGCCCCCTGGGCTATACAGCTCTTTTTGAGAAGGGACCTGACCACAAATGATAGCTCAACGAAGTGGCTTATCACGTGGAAATGTATAACGTGTATTGATTCTAAATGTGGAGGGAAAAACAGGAGGACCCAGAGAAAATTCCACGCGATCACGGAGAGAACATGCAAACTCCAAATATGTAGACGTCAGGGTCAGGATCGAACCCACGACCTCCTGTTCATCAGGCGAGGTAGTTAACATCTCGCCAACGTTTATTATCAAGGCAGCAATGCCGACCGAACTCTTTGGGAGAATTTTCTCATGACTCCTAAGCCTCTGCAATGCATTGTTTTAGTTTGGCTGTTAGGCCAAGTGGGCTCGTGAACCCGTCTGTGTGGAATTGGCCAAATATCCCAATACAGGATCCTTCTGAAAATGTGTATTTCTTGGATAAACATAGAACATTATAATAATTATGATACTTTTTTTAAATCCCTTCAAATCATCTCGATGTTGCATGTCGCCTTCAAGCGGCACATCTCTTTGAGACGTGGCCGCATTAGGACGATTCATGAATTCCAATCGTTTCACGAGAGTCAGGTTCCTATACGCTCCGAGCCGGAATGTTCACCTCTTCTCATCCTCCACCTGGATGCCGATGGATTGGAAGCGGCTGACCTTCTTCACCTCGACCGACGAGTCGGAGGACTTTGCCGGGCTGTCCACCTGAGGCACAACAATGAAGTCAACAGCCTAACGAATTGGTGTCGCTCATCGGCAGGCAACCACGGACGCACAACAAGCCTGAGCCACAATCACCGCGTCGCCCAGGAAAACATCCGGCACCGCACCTTCGATTAACACGGTTGGCGTTCAACATACAGACATATAACAGGCACGGAATGATGTACGGGTTCATCATGCATCCAAACATGGCCGTGATAACACATTACAATTGCTACAAGTTGTACGTTCATGGGTTCGCGTGACCCCTACAGCCACTAAATGTGCTACATTGACCACAATGTTGACAGCAACAACAAAAAAAGTATTCTTGTGAATCAAATGATGCCAAACTGTGACGATGACTTGAATCACGAGGCGGGGGCGAATTATTACAGGCCCCGTAGGAAACGGTGTAAATCCCCCACATTTTTATGACGGGGGACAGTTTTCAAATTTCCACACTTCACCAACCCCCAGAGATATGTGGTGCGCCGAGTCGTGTCCAAACAGAAATTTGAACGTGCGCCTTTCTGCATGTGAAACAGGTGCCCCGATCGCAGCGCTTGCGGGGCCGCTTGGCCCGACTGCCTCACATTTGTCCCCAACGTCCACACCACGGAAGCAAGGCCGGAGTGGGGGCCGCATTGTGGCCGCTGCCGGCGTGGGCGGCCGTCTCTCACCTGAATGCCGATGGATGAGCGCCGCTCGTCAACCTCCGCAACAGACACGTCCGCCAGCGCCAGCGCTGCCCTCTCCACCGGCAGCTCCGCCGTGGGGCCCCGCTCCGCCGTGGAGCCCCGCTCCGCCGTGGGGCCTCGCTCCGCCGTGGAGCCTCGCTCCGCCGCGGCGCCCCGCTCCGCCGTGGAGCCCCGCTCCGCCGTGGGGCCCCGCTCCGCCGTGGAGCCACGCTCCACCATGGGGCCCCGCTCTGCCGTGGGGCTCTGTTGCCGACGCTGCGCTGGGCACTGCAAGGGCCACCGGCATTCATCCTCCATCTCCTTGCTCTCCCTCTCCTGCTCCCTCTCCTGCTCCCGTTCCCTCTCTCGCTCTCGTTCCCTCTCCCTCTCTTCCTCTTTCTCCCGCTCCCGTTTCCGCTCCCTCTCTGTCTGTGCAACCCTCTCCCTCTCCTCCTGCTCCTCCTCGTCATCCTCATCCTCGTCGTCGTCATCATCATCATCATCATCCTCTTCCTCCTCTTCCTTCCTCTTGACCTCTATTTCCTCTTCCTCTTCCTCCTCTGACTCCGAGTCGTCCTCTTCTTCCTCTGCCTCCTCCTCCTCTTCCTCCTCTTCTTCTTCCTCCTCGTCTTCCTCCTCCACCGTGGGGCTCTGTTCCACCAGGGGCCCGGGCCCGTGTATCTGAGCGGCCGCCGCGTCCATGGCGGCCGTGAGGGCCTTGGCGCTGTCGAGGCTCTCCGAGGAGTTGCTGAGCCCCTCCGTGTCCTGGTTGAAGGACGAGTTGGTGGTCTGCGAGCTCAGATCGCCGGCCCGGTGCAGCTGCCGAGGCTGCATCTGCGTCTGGGCCTGCATCTGAGCCTGCGGCTGTCTCTGCGTCGGCGTCTGAGTCTGGGGCAGCGGCTGTCCTTGTTGGTGCTGTCCGTGCACAGCGTGGTGGTGATGGTGCTGCTGTTGCTGCTGCTGCTGGTGGTGTTGGTGCTGCTGCTGCTGTTGTTGCTGATGGTGGTGGTGGTGGTGCGGTTGGTGGTGGTGGTGGTGATGGTGGTGGGCGTGCGGTCTGCTCTCCATGTACGCGTCCTGTGCCGACTCGGTGCTGCTCTGCGCCGTGACGGAGATGAACGGCTTCGAGGTGGTGCGAGGAGGCACGGGCGGCGGGGTCTTCTTGTACGTGGTGATGGTGACTGCGGAGGGCGGTGGGCAGGCAGCGACGCTGTCATCGTTATCGCAATCATGGTCATCGTCATCATCATCATGATAATTATTATCAATTCTATCACCATTATGACAACAACCGTCGTCATCATCATCATCTTCATGATACAAACCTCGACCACCATGATCATCACAACCACCTCTAGTATGATCGCCATCATCATCACCGCCACAATCACCTCCAACACCACCGTCGTCACAACCAATTCGATCAGAATCAAAACTATCACCACCATTGTCATCATCATCATCAACACAATCACTTCCATCATCAATAACACCACCACCTTAATCATGATCATCACCAGCATAACCACTACCACAACTGTCTTTGTATTCGGATCATATGATTGTCAGCATGTACGCCATCAGATCGTGACTGGAAGAAAAACTAAAATGAAATAACTTTATGGGTACTGAGGCTCCCACGAAGCCATGCGGGAGGATGTTGAGTCACAGTTTGGCGCCGGCGATCGTAGAATTCGGGCATGTCGCTACAGTTCTCTGCGGTGAGTACGATGTCTTTAAAAACAACGGCGATATGCCTCTCTAAATAAAATTAATGCGTGGCGATCGTTGTCTCTCTCTGCTGCAACGCGAGCCCTCCTCCCTTGCTCTTTCTTCGGCGGCTTCAAGCAAACCAAGCGGAAGCCCCAATGCAGAATCCTTGCATGGCTTTTAGAAACGGACGGAGCAGTGCCATCGTTCAGCATGGGGCGATCATAACGACGCGCATCGCGATCCACCGATTAAAACGGACGGACTCTTATGCCGCCTGCCATACGTGCGGCCGTGGCTACGGGGAGAATGGTGGCACGTGGCGCTTGATTTCTCACAGAATAAATTCCGGATCACTAGAGTATCCACGGCAATAGGGAGAGGTTTACTGGGCGTGGTGCAGAAATATTTTTCCAGTTTGCTGGACACTCCCTACCCCATACCTCCCCCCCCCACCCGCCCTCCTCCCAAGTCCGCCAGAGCATTTGGAGTCTCCTATCCATCGATCTGGACTGCTCTGTCACATGACCTTCGACCCCATCCCATCTCACGAAACGGTTCCAAACACATTTTTTTTTGTTAAACCATCGTTGTTGTAGCCTTCGGGGGTGGACAAAGCAAAAGTCAGCGGCGCCTCTCCACTCGATCATCGCCACAGCCTCGCGACATCGTCTGTGAGACACGGCGCTGAACAAACGAATGCCATTATTATCATCATCATCATCGCTCAAAATTATCCCCTGCAACCCTTAGCCAGGAAGAAAGAGGACGCCGTCGGTGTCTGAGCAGAGCCGGGGGGGGGTGGGGGGGGGCGCGAGATCGCGCGCCGGAACCCCCACCGGTCTTGATGGTGCTGATCGTGGCGGTGGCGGGGGGCGGCAGCGGCGGCGGCGGCGAGGTGGACTGCAGCGAGGAGGCGGCGTCGTCGTCCTCGTCGCGCACGTACCCCGCCTGGATGGCGCGCAGGTAGCTGTGCGAGCGCGTGCGGAAGCAGCCGGGCAGGTCGAGCGCCTCCACCGCCTGCGCCTCCACCTCGCTGAACACCGACTCACACACCGTCTCAAACTGCCCGTTCACCTCCACCTCGCTCAGCTGGGGGTTGACGGGCGCCCGCGGCGTGCGGGCGAGCGAGTGGGCGAGCGGGTCGGTTGGGCGAGCAAGGGGTGGACGAGTGGAGGCGACGAGTGTGCGGGGACGCGGAGACGCACAGACAGACGGATGCAGAGAGGGACACGTGCAGCACCACGCATGCGAACGTACAGGAGCACAGAGACGCAGGAGCACAGACAGAGACACGCAGGCAGAGACACATGCAGAGACACACACAGACTCAAACACAGATGTACAGAGACACAGGCGCACAGAGAGAGACACGCAGGCAGAGACACATGCAGACACAACACAGATGTACAGAGACACAGGCGCACAGAGAGAGACACGCAGGCAGAGACACATGCAGACACAAACACAGATGTACAGAGACACTGGCGCACAGAGAGAGACACGCAGGCAGAGAAACACGCAGACACAAACACAGATGTGCAGAGACACCGGTGCACAGAGAGAGACACGCAGGCAGAGACACACACAGACTCAAACACAGATGTACAGAGACACAGGCGCACAGAGAGAGACACGCAGGCAGAGACACACACAGACTCAAACACAGATGTACAGAGACACAGGCGCACAGAGAGAGACACGCAGGCAGAGACACATGCAGACACAAACACAGATGTACAGAGACACTGGCGCACAGAGAGAGAGACACGCAGGCAGAGAAACACGCAGACACAAACACAGATGTGCAGAGACACCGGTGCACAGAGAGAGACACGCAGGCAGAGACACACACAGACTCAAACACAGATGTACAGAGACACAGGCGCACAGAGAGAGACACGCAGGCAGAGAAACACGCAGACACAAACACAGATGTACAGAGACACTGGTGCACAGAGAGAGACACGCAGGCATAGATGCACATGCAGAGACACACACACAGATGTACAGAGACACACAAAGAAACATGCACACAGACCATATGCACAGACACACACGGGCACAAACACAAATGCACACATATACACAGACACAGTGATAAACATGCAGAGAGGCGGACATGCGCATACGCAAGCATGCAGACAGACGCACACACACATGGAAAGAGAGAGGCAATTGGAGACACAATCATACATATACACACATAGTACACACACGCACACCAAAACATACAGATTCAAACACACAAGGAACATACATACAAACACACACAAAGACACACACAGGAACATATGTGTTATTGGATGGCCAGATGTTCTGATTTAATCAGAGTGGTTCTGCATTAAACACAGAGATTTTCTGATATAAAAATAATGTAATAATACCACTGTTTTAAAAAATCAGGTCACCCTAATATGCATATAGATGGACAATGTTTCGTATACACTCACACTTTACATATTTTGCAATACCACGCACGCTGCCTGCTCATGCCACTCAGCTGATGCAAGGATCACTGAAACATGTACAGAGAAAGAAACCACACAAAAATTCCCCGCATCGCCATGCAGACTTAGGGTAAGCATTGTTAGCGAGCCACGCTCGGCTGCCTTTGTCTCCCCAGCGCTGACATTTACGCATTGCAAAAAAATAAGGCTGAGCTGACCTAGGAAATGGCCAGCGGTGGGTCGAATATCAATCACCAGTGATGTCAAGCTGTGGCCAGGAGTTGAACTTGTCATAATGCAATGTAGTGTGCTAATCACTGCGCCACCGCTACCCGCTCGAGCACGCACAGACACACACACACGTGTGTGTACACAGAGACACGTGTAAATATATACACCCACACAAAAACACGTGCACTTGCGTACCCTCAAACACACACAAAAAAAATCTACACACACGCGTACACACGTGCACATGCGCACGCACGCAACGCATGTACACGTACACCTGCGCCCTCGCATACAATCATAAGCACACGTGCGAATTAACATTGGCTCCCCATGTTACATATACAGACGAACGTCGAGACAAGTGCGTAGAAAGACACGCGCACACACACTCAGCCAGGACAAAGACGCACACATTTTCCACAAACACACCCACGAACGCGGAGTTAAATATTTTGGGGGAGAAACTGGTAAACATGCAACCGGTCTCTTGTTTCTTTTCAAGAATAAAATGAGCTGGAAATTGTACACTCAAAGCGATCAGGTTTTTAGATATGGATGTGGCACTATGGCAGCAGCTGTCTCCTGATTTGACCGTTCCGGGTGATACATATTCATGGGTATTTGGACATAATCTCCTCCAAATACTGTAACCATATTCACGGCTATTTGGAGGAAAATATCCTCAACTGTTGATTTAGCAAGCTGTTGACACAGTTAAAAATCGTATTCGAACCTCTATGATGGAGTCAACGTGTGGCTTTAGCAGTAAAACGACGGGTCGGTTCTTATTCGAGGGCTGAAACACATTGTCTACATTTTGAATTTGGGAGTCAATTAATCAGATTTCTGCCCAATTCCTACGGGGCGTTCTTCGCTTCTCATTACCGTGCTTGGTTCGCCGTTCATTTAATTGCATACCATAAATTTGATTTAAAAAAAAAAGTGTGTTCATGGAAGAATAATTATTTATGCTGAAAGACCTGAAAAGACCTACACACCACCACGTCTCCTGTCCATGGTGTTCAAACCAAAGTGCAAATGGCTTTTATAAGCGATATTTGGCAGCATCCTATGTGACAAAGACTTTTTGCCCGCATGATTATATATGTTGTATGTATTCATGAGCCCCAAATGCTGTATTTTTTTAAACGGGAGCCCCTTGCAACACCATTAAACACGTTACGAGGCTCTGCTATTAAAGGTGTCAAATTCAATGAATACCAGGGTGTTGATTCTCATTTAAATGTATCACACGTGGACACCGTACACAACCTCATGAATAAAGCACCAAGGTTGTTGGGCTCTTCTATGTAAATAACGTTTCTCGTTAACCACCCACTGCCAACGTGTTGCTTCTTCCTGCTTGCCTATTATTATCGTGACATAGTTTATGAATTAGAGATGTTAACTACCTCGCCTGGTTTACAGGAGGTGGGTGGGTTCCATCCTGACCCAGACGCCTGTATATTTGGAGTTTGCATGTTCTCCCTGTGGAAGCATGGATTTTTCTCCGGGTCCTCAAGTTTTCCCCTCCACATTGAGAGTATTTGGCTGCTATAAATGTCCATACGATAAGCCACTTCAGTGAGCTATAATTTATAGCCAGGTTGCTTCTGAAAAATAAATATATAGCTCAGTGGGCCTTCGGTGGTAAAATAAATAAAAAAAATTGTAGTTTAATAACAAACAAACGGATTCTTGGAGATTATTATAGACGTCCACAGCTGTACTCTTTGGTTCTTTCGGTAAAGTCACGTGGGTATAAAAAATTAATAATAAATCACGACGTTTCGATCGCAACACAAGCAATCATCATCAGGCAGAAAGACACAGCAGCAGAACTGCTGAACTTGCAGAAAGAATGACGATTGCTTGTGTTGCGATCGAAATGTCGTGATTTATTATTTATTTTCCTACCTACGTGACTTTACCGAAAGAACCAAAGAGTATGGATTCGTGCAGTCACGAAAACTTCAAGTAAAGATTGAACCGTCCACAGCTTTGTTTACTATTTACATTAGCAATTCCTGCAGGACCTCGAAATGGCGTGCAGGTAAGGTTGCGTTCAGATAGGCACGCTTCATTTCCCGTGTTCCCCTACCCACAGCGCCTCACTTACGAGCAGAGAACATTGTGAACTGAATAACAAGATGAACTGCCTCCCACTGTCAATACAGAGAGACACGCACTGGATTAAGCTGATCTTTATGCAGTTAAGAAATTACCACCACGCTTATCTGGTTTATTAAATCCACGCGATATTCTTTGCAATGCAAGACGTAGGGAATGGAACGGCGCCCGAGATGACACCTGCCGATGAGATGGAGGGATGAAATCAGCTCATGTGCAAAGTGGATTATTACATCGAGAGAGGGCAATTGCCGGGGTGGGGGGGGGGGAGGCCTTTGTCAAGTAGTGGATTGGCCATGGCTGATGACGATGATGATTTGAGATGTGCCTCGAAATTCTATCTTCCAAAAGAAAATACTAAGTTTGAAAACTGTACTTTCTAACACGATGCTACTTGTACATTTAAAATATCTCATCTCTCTTGTGTTAAAAAAAACCATTCACTCCCAGTGGGTAATTCATGAGAAACTGACTCATTGCTTAGTCAGGGTGATTATAATTGCTTATGAATTATGCCTCATATGTCATCTTGAAATGCATCTCACTGATATTTTAAGTTACATATTTTGCAAACTTTATAGAGAGTATTCTTTGGATATTTTGGTAAACTCACGTAGATAGGTTCAAAGAAAAAAAAAATTACGACGTTTCGATCGCAACACAAGCGGTCGTCATCAGGAAAAGGGGGTTAGCTTCTAAAGGCAAACTGTTTATAAAGGTTTAAAATGGGCGTAGCCCAAATGTCAGCAGCATGGCTGGGGCAGATAATGTTAATGTAAGTGATGGGCAGCGACTGCGATTGGCGGTGGGTTTCCACCAATTAAAGTGCTGCCAGGTAAAAATTTCGATGTTAATGTAAGATTGGTGAGCGGCATCCACGGCGAGCGCGCTGAGGTGGCTATGTTGATGTGAGAGATTAGCATGTTAATGTGAGAGATTAGCATGTTAATGTAAGGTCGCAGAGCCACCACCACGTCGAGGTCAGCGCGTGAAGGTGGCTGTCTTGGTGTGAGAAATTTAACCTGTTAATGTAAAATTGGAGAGCCAAAAATAACAACTAACATTGGAAGGTGGCAGAATGGGAACATCACAGCCATTTATGACTTAAACTGGTTGATAACGTCCTTCCAATGATTGCTAAGTTTGTACCCATCTTCTCGGTTGAAATTGTGTCTGTCTGTATATATGGATGGCTTCATGAACAAATTTTCGTTGATAGCCAGTGGATTTGCAAAGTACCTTCGTCTTAGAGAAATCAATTTTGCGTGAGCCCACCGCATT